TTTACCTGTTCTGTGTGTTTCATGTCGCTCAGAAGACAAGGTCTGCCTAGTGACAAAGGTATAAAGCAGGCAGGGAACAGCTAGCGTTTAATGTTAATTCTAAATCCGATAGATTGTGTGGGGAAAAGAAAGAGCTGACGTTACACAAACAGAGGTGAGCCTTCAGGCCGATGGAGCTTCAGTGCTTCTCCGAGAGGATGGTTTTCCGTAGCCCCTGAAGGAGAAGTGGCCGATTCCACCTGCCCGACCTAGAAGCAAAATACCTATCTCACTGCTGTCCGCAGTACTGCGAGGTGGAGACTAGGCTGGGACTCGCTTGCTTTGGCTGGGAAATCCTGGATGGAATGCTGAGGGATGTCAAGGTGTGCCATCCCGGATAGGGTACAAGCTGGCTGTGTCAGGTTCTCTCTACTTGTACCAAGCAGGTTGCCCACCGAACACAAAACCGCAGCAAAGAACCGAACACTCAGGGACCAGGGAAGTGACCCTTTGGTTCAGCACCGCCTGCCCCCACACCCAACCCCTCCACTCCCTCCTTCCCTCCCAGTCGGCTCAGGCGAAAGGGACATCGAGCCCCAAAGGTGTCAAAATCTTCCATTGTGCCAGTGAAAGAGTTTCACCTGTTAACTGTCTATTTGGTGTCAACCAGTTGTGTGTGTGAGTGAAAGAGAGAGAACGAGAGAGAGAAAGGAGGGGTGGGGGGGTGGGGGCAGGGGTTTCGAATTATTTGTGACTAGGAAGAGACAAATCAGCTTGGAGAGAGTGAGAGAGAGAGAGAGAGAGAGAGAAAAAAACTCGACTACAAAATAATAACAATAAAACAAATGGAATCGAGGTACTGGGAATTATTCTACATCTCCAAACATTTTTTCTTCTTTTGCAACTAACCAACCACAACCTACACCAGGCAGGGCCCAATCATAGCTGCAGATGACCACAAGTCATTCCCAAGCTCTGTGACGTTACCTAGAGCTTCTAGCTGTCACGGGCCAGACAGGTCCCAACCCGTAAGTTGCCCGTTTGCAGTGAAGGTGTCATTTGATGACGTCCATGTGACGGACTGTCGCTACGTTGCATGGCGGTGACGTCAAGTTATTTTGCGGTTGTGCCGTGCATTTATTATTATTATTATTATTGTTATTATTGACCATGGTACCGTTAATCTGTTGTCGTAAGTAACCTTGGAGTGATGATTGGTCTTTCTTGATCAGTCGTGCGTGAACCTTTTTGACCTTTGCTGTTGTGTGAGTCGTGTGGTTTTTTTTTCTTGTTGTTGTGTCGATATTAAATGTGTTCGAAAAAAAAAAGTGTCAAAGAGAGAGAGAGAGAGAGAGAGAAAAAAAAATGGATATAAAACATTAGATGTATATACTCGGCTATACTCCTGCAAATTTCTTGCTTTGTTCTCCGATGGTCATGAGTATTTCTGTGAGCGATTGTGATCTCTCGTTTTGTTTTTTGGTTTCAAAAGCTATGATCATCGACCCCCCCAAAAAATGACAAATTTTCCATGGACCTTTTTCACTTGTGACTTAATCCATGCCTGTGTCCCAGTCAGTATTAATGTTAGTCCTAATATTCCCGGGGGGGGGGTGTGTGGGGTGGAAGAGAGAGGAAAATCCCCCAACTCAAAACGCAACATAAAATTGCCTGCATGCTTCTCTGCTACAAATATCGATGCAATCCCACTTGGGTCTTTCGCATTTGCACGTGTTCTCGTATAAAGGAACACAGATGCACGCGTTCTTAATGATCAGAATCTTTTTGGGGTAGCTAAGAAGGTCAATAGGGTTCGTTCCCCCCACCTCCCCCATACACACACACAAAAACGCACAGCCATGACACTTTACAGTAAAATCCTGCGAAGCGCTTTGAGACGCCCTCCTGACCTGAAAGTTGCTTTACTAAATGTAGGGATAATTATTATTATTGCTGTTAGCTTTTAGGATAAAAAGAAGGATCAGGCTGATTTTATTCCAAATGTAAGTGGAAGTGCCCAAATCACTTTTGCTGACTTGCACATCAGCGTGGAATCATCGCCGATGCTAATGCTTCAAATTCCTTTTTTGACAAAGAAGCCACATACATTACCTCAAACACACTCACACATCACCCTCATATGCATAAACTCACACACACCATGCCACACTCCACACTGACACACACTTACACACCACACACACATTCACAAACCCACACCAATCACACCCACATACACCCCCACACACACTCACACAAATACCACACACCCATACACCCACACACACACACACAAGTACACGCACCACTGCACACACTCACACACAACTACACATACACACTCCACCACCCCACACACACAAAGAAATACACATTCTCACACAGACCCACTGCCCACGCGCACACTCACCCACACACACTCTCACGCACACACTCACACCACGTTCCACCCCTCCGATATTGAACGTAGCCTCTGTAGTGAAGTTAGCGATCGTTCAAATTGGTTTCAGCGACTGGGCAATACTGTGGGACAAGCCAGAGACAAGGGCACTGAAATAAAACATAAAACACAAACATCACGGAGAGAAAGAGGGAGCGAGAGAGAGAGAGAGAGAGAGACAAAAAATATTTTGCATTTTGATTTTGTTATCTCAGCTCTTTAACCCAATGAGGTTGCCTTTGAAAGTGATTTTTTTTTCCCCCTCTAGTCCTTGTCAATGTCACATGCTGTCACATTCACTATAGAGTGTCCTGTGTGTAATGCTCTCCTCTGGGTATAGTTCGCAGGCTGTGTTTCAGTCCTCAATGGGCTCACACAACACTGAGCTTACCTCTGGTGCCTCAGTGACACACATTCCTTTTGAAAATCCAATGCTCAACCCCGTAAGGTCCTCAGTCGAAGTGCTCTCTCCAAACCCTCTTGAGGCTCCTTCACGCAATGCGGTCTCCAGGCTGTACTGATGGAAGAGGGCATAGAGGACAGGAGGGAGAAAAGGATTCCATCTTCATGGGTTAAAGAGCTCAGTGCCCGCATGCTACAAGGCAATTTTGTGCTGCCGCCTTTAATTTGCCTCGCGGAGCGGAAACGTGAAACCAAATGAAAAGGGTCCTCTTATGGTTAGTGCTGTTGCTGTGGGTTTGCCACTTGTGATTGTGGTTTTTGTTTTCTTTCTAGCCTTAAGAAAGAGCTGCAATGTTTGCCTCAGCATGGTTGTTCTTTCTTTCCCAGCATGAAACCAGTGCCAGCATCCGAACTACTCTTTTACTTTAAATTTTTACTATTTTTCTTTTATTCGTTTTTCTCGATGAAAATTCCTCTCTTTTTTTAAAAAAATATAAAAAAGCAAAAGCTTGGTTGTAACGTAGCAACCCAAGATGCTGTGGAATTTTCAGGTGTAGTGTGACCAGATATGGACTGTTGTTGTAGTTTAAGCTTGGTGTTTATTCAGTGGCAAAGCTAGGCCTGTTCAAGTAGGGCTCAGTTTTTCTGTTTCTTTTATTACCTTTCCTTCCCCTTCGCTCACCGCACTGCGCACTTTAATCTACAATCTAGTATATTCTGTGAAGCGCTTTGAGGCGTCTGGAAGACAAGGCACTCTCTCAAATGTAAGGAGTCCTAGATTTCTCGATTGGTTGTTCAGCTAATCATCGCTCAATAGTCCTGATCTGATTACCATCATCATAAGAGGATAACATTTTTCCTTGGAAAATTTGTTATTGCAGCACGATAATAAAATATATAATATGACATTCACTGTTCTGAATGAGAGTACTTTCAGTCCACAAACTAAGTTGAGTGTAAAGTGATGCAAACGCATCTCAACCATTCTTCGTTCTGTCTGAGTGTGAATGGGCCTCGTCGGGTATCACCATCCATAAAAAACCGGGACACTCTCTGCTTGTCAGTAAATAAACCTTGTTGTGGTTATAAAGGGGGAACCCTGTTCTAAGGCACAACACAAAGGTCAGTAATACACTGCAAACTTGAGAGTAACACTGAACGATCCTGTTTATTTATCCAACTCTTCAATCCTTTCCCACCTGTTTGTATCCTTCCAACCCTCGCCCTCTCTGTTATTGATCCTGTTTTTGCCATTGACCTCTCTTTCAGTTCATTTGGCCTCTTTCCCCCATGCATTTCCTTTCCTTTGCTTTGACAAACCAGACACGACAGGAGTCCACTTGAATATCACGGTTGTCGCTGGGTTTAACAGATCTCCTGTTGACTCAGAGGCCAATTTCAATTCTCTGTGACACCCCATTGCAGGAGCACTGCTTTGACTAGAGAGTAAAATGTTCCTCCTGTTGACTGGACAGGCCAGGGTTGGAGCTGTAGGGCAAAAACACTTATCTCCTGCAGTTGTAGTCGGAGGCAAGAGAGAATTGTGAGTCTGAGTGAGTCTTTCTTATTAAGATCACCCTTAGCGTTTTACCCACAAAATACGGTCAATTCACTTTACAGTATATTCTGTGAAGTGCTTTGAGACGTCTCAATTAAGTGATGAGGCACACCATAGCAATAAACAAACTGGCCTCAACCACCCTTCCTGGCAACCCGTTCCGGTCATTAATTACCCTTAAAAAAATCTCCCGCCGTCTGTCCTTGATATTGCCCTATGCAACTCTAAACCAATGTCCTCTTGTTCTACTGCGCTGGTTGCAACCTAAAGTTTTGATCTGGGTTGATTTGCTTTAGCAATCCCATTTAAGATATTACACATCTTCCTCTGAGTCATCCTTTCCTTCAATCAATGCCCACAAAATATACAGACAATTCACTTTACAGTCTATTCTGTGAAGCACTTTGAGACATCTCGAAGATGTGTGAGAAGGCGCTATATCAAATGCAAGGATTATTAGTAGTATTTTTTTTATTGCTGGCCAAGCTTTGCCACTGATTTCTTAGTGTGTGGTTAACCACCAGTTACTGATTAGCTGTTGTATTAATGCATTTTTTTGTCTTTTCTGTCTTTCTTTCTCTCTCTCTCTTTCTCTCTCTGTGTCTCTCTTTGTATTTCCAGGATGGAAGCATCGGGGCATTCAGTGATCCTTTATCACAAGTGCAGTCTGAAAACTCTTGACTCTTTTTTTTTGCTGCATATCACTGTGGAAAAAAACAAAACACAGATTAGATTTTTTCAAAGGGGGAAATACTTCAGAAGAGATTGCGTTTAAAAAAAAACAAAAGGGATTCGACGAAATTAAAAAAAACACAACAAAAAAAATTCATATTCGCACTGGAACTGTGATAAGGATATTGAGTTAAATGGTGACTGGGTTAATCCATGAGTACTGAATAGTTACTGCTCAGAGGATTAAATGGTAATCACTGACTAAAAACCAAAGCCAGCTGGATAAGATTTGTGTGCCTACAGTCAACAAAGACACATCCTCGCCTCCATATAGGAAGGATTTTACAGAAAAAAACGGGACATTTCTGAAGCTGGCACAAGGATTAAGAGCTCTACTGCTGTAAAGTCACATCATTCCTTAGATAATTAGGGACCAAAGGACCAACTTTTTTATCTTATCTTATAGTTTTAAGTAAAAAAATAGTTCATAACATTTCATGGTGATTTAGGAAACAAAAAACAATTGCGTAAAAGGAAAGGCTTGATAGGATTTAAGAGTCATTTTAGGAACAATAAGTATTTCGAGAGGCGCTCAGACAGTGGAGAGACAATCGATTCTGCGAATATATAGGAGCGGAACATTCATTTTGTACTACAGAGGATCTGACTCACGAGCTATGTCCTTATTGTACAGTAGCTGAAGAAATACTGGAACTTTCACCGTAAAAAGCACTAGAGGTTACTTGTAAAATATAGAACTCTTGCTACTGCTGTTCCTTAAGTATTTATTTAGTACCTTAAATACTGAATCTGTTCATATTAGATCAAGACAGTGGTAATTAACATGATGTTTCTCAGGCAAGGTGGCCATTCTGCGGTTCGGAGGGTCTTAAAGGGTTGTCCTAGAATCATCACTCTGTGGTGAGTTTACACAGAGAACACGGCAGGTGTATTGTGCCAGAAAGTGTGTGTGCACGAGAATTTGTTACAAGGGCCGCTCTCACATCTACTGCACCAAATATACATCAGTGAAGAAAACCCCAAGTAACTCCACGACATAATGCAACGCTGCACGGCACAGAAGAGGGTCATTCAGCCCATCTTGCTGGTACGAAAGAGCTGTTTGTTCAATCCCAACTGCCTGCCTTTTCTCCATCCCTTTTTACATGTTGCTTTTTGATGTATCTGTACATTTTCTAGGTTCTTAAATTGCTTGATTTCGAAGGAAACCACGCTCTGAGATCAGTGGACGCAACAACATAAAACAAATGATAACGCCATCGTGTCCTGTATGGTTGGGCACAGGAGCACAAGTGGTTTGGTAACCAACGGTAATCTTCCCTCTCCGGCCTACTTTTTTTGGTGTCAGATAATTGGTGAATGGAAGGCCTCTACACTTCGCAATCCAGGCTCAATGGAACGATGAGATCTTCAGTGATGGGCCGAAGGGCTTTCTTCATCAGAACCAATCTTGTGATCCTGTAAAATGCTGCTCACCGCTGTCACTTTTTTCAGATATCAAGGGCCTGGGTTTGGGCATCAACCAGTGTGATGGTTTGTGATAGCGAGCATGGCAATCCCTTTCAAAATCAACACTTTGTTTGTCAACCAGAGTCTCACAATATTGACCAGACTGAGAACGAGTGAAACATGCAAGCTCCTGGAATCTTGGACAGCAAGATTCCTTTGTAAACCGCAATGAGAAGTGGCCTGTATGTTCTTATGTTTATTTTCCCTGTTATCTGCCCCAAATTGATTCACGAGAACTCCACATAAAAGTAACAATAATAATCCTTGTGCATGCGCTAATCCATAGAGGGTCCTGTGCCCATCGTAGTTACGGATCACCAAAATAGATCAACTAAATGTTTCCACATTCTGTGCATTTTTTTTCCCCGTATTGAAGGAAAGGAAAAGAATATAATTCCAGGGGGGTCCAAGATATTCATGAGCACGGGTGTCCATGTGGAAACTTCAAAGGACAAAAACAATTTCTTTGAGAACCTTTGAAAAAAATCCAACAATTGAGAACCTTTGAAAAAATATAAAGGTTTCACTGCAAAAAGTATGCTAACAAAGAGTTTGGCTCCCTGATACTTTGCTGTTGTTTGTATATAAAGCATTAAGCACCATCAATCTTCTCGAATCAGCATCACTTTATGCAAACTAAAGCCCTAATTAAAAAGGCTTCCCGGATAAATCAGTAAAAATTGCTGACATTTGAATTCTTAAAACATTTTGAACAGATAACACCAAAGTTTATTTTATGTTCATTTTTAGCGATCTTTTTGATTCCCGAATTGGCCGACTTCCCAGCCGTAAGGTTGCCATGGATGCTACTTCCTGCTGAGGCCTGCAGTGTACAGGAAGGGATGTCTGAGGCTACCTGATAAAAGTATACAAGATACATTTAACGATGGGTAATCAAATTGCCTTAATTTGGAGATAATTGGAAAATCCAGCGACACAATTTGTACCAATTAAAATCAGAAACCAGCAGGTCTACTTATATCTGATGACTTTCGTTGGCAGGGTCAGCTCAACCAACTGAGCTAAACAACCGAACTAAGACTATATTCCACTGAGAAATACTTTGAACAAGCGGTTTCTTAAGAGATCCTGTGACTACAAGCGTTATTTCCTTGTTTATGCGTATCTTCCACACTCTTCACAAACAAACTTTACTCATTGTCGAGGGGAAATTTGCGGTATTTCTTAACGGATTCCTTACTAAGAAATCAGTCATGCACGTGAGATCTACTTCCCTTAGGACGTCGATCCCACCGATCTGCGGGAACTCGACCTGCATCCGGAGCTGAGTTTTTGCAGAATCAACGGGAATTCTAATTAACCCACGCTTAATGTTAATTAGCTGACACCTCTATTGTTGATCATTTGTTCACCAGACAGGGTCACTTGTTCATGTAGAAAGTGTATTCCATGGGGAGGTCTTCAAGAGCCTCTATTGATACTCTTAAGAGTGGAGCGATCTTTGACGTGATAGATTTATCCTATTACAAGAGGCTGTGATGAGACAATTATCCTACAAAGCCTCGTTTGCACTGCCTAACTGGCCTATTCAGTCTGCCAGTCACTCAGGCAAAAATCTGGCAATGCATCTCATTGTGTTTGAGGCAAGGTGAAAGAATTTCCTTACCAAGTCAACCCAATGCAACCCAACCCAGTCCAATCCAATGCAACAAACCAATCCAGTCCAACCCAACCCAACCCATTGGAGCAAAACACATATCTAAAAAGTGCTTCATGTAGCATATTTAACTGAAATGCTCTGACACACACACACATATATACACATATAATGAGTAAAACAAGTCTTTACTTCATATCCTAAGCTATTTGAGTACATTTTATATTAAGATTTCCAATGTAAGCCTCCAAGACCTAGCAGAAAAAAAGACATTGCCTGAGAAAAAAACAAACAAAAAAAAAAGGGACCTTGTTTGAGTGTTTTTCTACTGTGAAGAGAGGCGGTAAAGAGCAGTTAACATGTAGAAAACTCAGCAGTAACAAGGTAGGAATAGCAAACCCTACATTTACACTGATATTATAAATGCCTTGCTTCTGCTCAGAGTAGATCCATGACTCATAATAAAAAAAATCAACTGGAATAAAAGAGGTCATCCTATGAATTGATAGTGGAAAAGGCCTACAGATGCGAGCTTTTAATTAAGGAATAGATTCCTCCAATTACAGGTACTGAGAACTAGCTACTGAAACTTTTGCTGCACTTGTATATATATACTATAGCATATTTTTCTTTTTGTTATCGTTTCCACAGAGAGAAATTTTACGATTTTCAGTGCTTTAAACCATTAATATTAAATGAAAAGAATAAAAAATCAGGCCACAACTGATATTTCTATGGTCTGTCTATTTAAGATCCGATATTTAAAATAATTTATTTGCTATTTATGATCAGGCTAGTGTGCGGGGTGTAATTTGTTCTCATTGTCGCTTCTTACTTAACTTTAACATAATTTAATTGTCATGACAGTTCTTATTTATTTTATATATTTTGGGTGGGGTGGGGGGACGGTGAGGGGATTTCTCCTGTTTTATTTTTTTCTTTTTCCTGCCAGAAATGTAATTTAATTAGAGGTGATATACAGGCAGAACATGCCCTGTAATTATAACAAACTTAGTGTAGTGTAAAAAATGCAGTAGTTCTGTAGTTAACGCTATTCTGCCTAGACTGAAATAAAGCACAGTCCAGTGGGAAGCTTCAAACCTGTCTCTTGTCTTCATTGTGCAAAAAGAAGTTCTTAGCTCTTACTGTGCACCCATTGAAAGCGCTGAGCTCTGTCACTTCAGTAACATAGGGCGCTTCAGATAAAGACACCAACACTTATGCATTCACTGACAACTGCTCGCGAAGGAGATGTAAAGCTTGTGTCCATCAATAGCGGAGGAGACACTACCCACTACACCCCAAGAGAAGGACAAGTTGTCTTCAGTGAACGGCAATTCCTTTATCTATCATCTATCTAAGGTGGGTGCAATAGCTGCTGTTCCCCGGGGAATTAAATAATCCTTGCCTTTGACGTAACCTCGGCAAACCGTCCCAACAACAACAACAACTTGCATTTATATTGTGCCTTTCACGCCGGACGGCGTCTCAAAGCACTTCACGCAATTTTGTAGGTGAACAGACACGATCAAGGGGGTGTAAATGTCGGAGAAGCACCAAAAGATTTGAAGGGGAGGTTAGAAAATATTCTTTATTGTGGAATTCTCTGCCACAAACCATTGTTGCAGCAGAGTCAGTAAATTATTTTAAAAGGAATAATATAAACATTTGCTAAACATTAGTAAAGGTTACCGGCAGCAAAACCAACATGGGTTTACACTGGGAGGAAAGGGTCATTGGGAAGGTAAAGCGGAAAAGTTCTCTCCCTTCAAAGAGTGACCAGTATCCTGGCTGACAAACCCCCAAGTATAATTCATCATTGATTTCATGGTTGATTGTGGGCTATTGCTGTATACAAATTGGCTGCCGATTCCACAAGGTATACAGTCACTGCACTTTATAGTATACACCATGAAACACCTTGACATGTCCTCCTGACGGGAAAGGCACTGTATCAAATTTATTATTATTATTATTATCTCCAGTGGCTGAGTTAGTACCAATTGAAGCTGGATAGCCTGAATGGCCTCCTTCTTTCCTGCCATTTCTATAATTCATATTATACTCTTTATGATATAATAATAATCCTTGCATTTGATATAGCACTCTTCACGTCTTCTCAATGTCTCAAAGCGCTTCACAGAATATACTGTAAAGTGAATTGACTGTATATTTGTGGGCGAAACGCAGCAGCCAATTGTGCACAGCAGCGTCCCACAAACAGTCGTGGATTGCGTGCCCAAATTATTGTTATAAGGTGCTATATCAAATGCAAGGATTATTATTATTTATAATGAAGAAGTATGTCAGCCTAGCTTACTAGGTAGCATTCTCAACTCTGAGTCAGAAGGTTGTGATTTCAGGCCTCGCGTCGAGACTTAGAATCCACATAATCTAGGCTGACACTTAAATGCAGTGCTGAGAGTGCACTGTATTATCAGAGGTGGCGTCCTTCAAATGAGACATCAAACCGAGGTCCCTCTGCCTGTTCAGGGCAAAGTTAAAGTTCCCACGGCATAATTCAAAAAGAGAAGGGGGTTTCTCTCTCCTGGCCAACAATTCCCAAATACAATTGGTCACTGACTTCATGGCTGTTTGTGGGACACTGTTGTGTGTATACATTGGCTGCCATGGATTTGCTCATAAAATACCCACAGTCACAGCACTTTATAGTATATCCCGTGAAGCATGTTGAGACATCTCAACAATGTGATAAGGGGCTATTCACGTGCAAGGATTATTATTTATCATAATAACATACAGTCATGTTATATCACCTAGATGCTCATCTTTCACCCACAAAATACACAGTGAATCCAATTTGCAATATATCTGTTGAGATGGTTCAGCGCCGTGATAAGGCTCTACATCACATCTGAGTATTATCATTATAATTATTATCTTTTCATTGAGAAGATAGCTGGTGTATCAAACAGGTCCAGTCAAAATTGTGCAAAATATTTATTTTTTCCATACACATAATTTAATGAAACCAATGAAACTCTCTTGTCAAACATACACAATACAGTCATACAAAAAAAGCACATTCTATATATGTACATATGTTGAAATATATAGAACACCATCACAGCACTGATGCGTCATGTGGGAGATAAACCAACAAAATCTGATTGATTTTCTCTCTCATCCTGGCTTTAAAAACGTTTCTGTTGAAAATATTTACAAAGGTCTTTGAAAAAGCCAGGATAGGAAGTTCAGGAATGATTAGGGACTCAAGTCTGTGGAAAAAAAAATCCTTTGGAATAATTTCGAAAACATCTTGCGGCAGCTCAGCTTGTGTAAACCTGGGTTCCAATCACACGCATAATTTCCTTCTGGATTTTAGGGTCCTGAGTATTGATATTGGCATCTCCCACTTGTCCGTCTTCATACCTGTGAGGATTAATGGGCACAAGCTGTGGTTATAAAAACAAACTCTATTAAATACTCTAGGCTACACCAAAACAGCAGAACAAGAAAACACATATTAAGAACATAAGAAACGCTAGCTAAAAAAAATCAAGGTCCACCTCGTTCGCCTTCCACCTCCCTGGTGGTCGCACGCACATATGTCCCAAACTCCCTATTTACTATATCCCATAATGTTGTTTCCTAAAAGAAAACTAATCTGTGTTTGCAAGAATCAACACTTCTGCTTCAACCGTCTCCCTAGGGAGCCTGTTCCACGGGTTCACTATTCGCTCACTGAAATAATGCTTGTGCAGATTCACGTGTTTAGAGTTGCAAAGGGAAATTTGAGATCAACACCAGGAAGTTTTTCTTGACCCAGAGGGTTATAAACGACTGAAACAGGTTGCCAGGAATGGTGGTTTAGGCCAGGACACTGGACTCATTAAAAAGCAACTTGATACTGTGATGGGAGGACGGTTAGGTGGGTGTTCTGGGGGGATGAGATCAGATGGGCTAAAGGACTTTGTTCATCCAAACCGATCTTGTGAATAATATAAGGATCCTAAAATCATTGTGAGGAGCATCCTGAGGTGTTACTTTCTGAGCCCTACGTTTGCTTGCTGTTCCCTGTGTCTCATCTCTCTGTTCATTTCCCCCTCACACCTCATCGTTCTCCTCTACATCTAAGCAAGCACAATCCTGAAATAAGATGAACAGTTTTCCTTAAGCTCAATAGGAGACATTCTCCACTTAATGGGTGAATTTACCGACAAATGTGACAATCTCCCCCACCCACCCTAATTTTTACAAAATACAGTCACTGCACTCTACTGTAAACACTGTGAAAAGCTTTCAGACGTTCTCATAACGTGATAAGGTGCTATATCATAAATAAAGATTTATTACTGTTATCATTATCAAGGTTTGTCTCAAATCCAAATTATTATAACTTCACATTACTCACACAAAAAAGAAACGAGTACAGACGTGATCAGACACAGGACAGACCCAGATGTTGCCATGTTTCTGAAGGTCTTTTGAAGTTATGACTGGGAAAAAAAGAGAAAAGAAACACCAGGAAGAGACTGGTTAGAAACTGCTTGGATGGTATGGAATTTCATTTTAAATAAAACAAACGCGATCATACATTTCTCAGCTAAAGCTGTGCAAACAATGGAGCTATTCACATGAAGTTGCTGAGAAATTCATGTCATTTATTAACCAAGATTTTGATTGTAACCATTAGGAGGAGGAAAGAGCCTTGAATTGAGCCTGGAATTGGAGTCTTGTAGCATATCGATTAGAGGACTCGTCTCGCAAGTGAGAGGAATGCGGGTTCGATTCTCATGTGGGGTGAAACCTTAGGCAAGTTTCCTTACTCCACACACCTTTGTTTACGTAGCAGTAAGTAGGAACCCGGTTGTTGGTCGATTGGCGGATCGCTTTCTATGTGGTAATAATCCCTTCAAAAAGAAATATTAATAATTTGGTCGCTCATTCCACGACTGTTTGTGGGACGCTGCTGTGCACAATTGTCTGCTGTGTTTTGCCCACAAATATACGGTCAATTCACTTTACAGTATATTCTGTGAAGCGCTTTGAGACTCTAGAAGACATGAAGAGCGCTATATGAAATGCAAGGATTATTATTATTTTCAGATCATTAACTCTAATGGGTGAGCTAATTCCCCCATTTTAGGCTTGAAAGGTATGACATTTTTTAATTCCAATTTCACTGGTCTAAGCCTGTGAGGGACACACATTTAAATTGAGTTGAAAAAGCCACGATAGGAAGTTTGGGAATAGTTGGGGACAGTTCAACTTCAACATAAGAGCTAACTTTCTTCAGTTGAACGTCAACAAGGCCGAGGCCCTCCTGATTGGCTCCCGTCAGCGCATCCACACCTCAGGCACTGATAGCATCACCATCCATGGATGCACACTCTACCTAACTAAGCCAGTCCAGATCCTTGGCATCTTGTTTGGCCCTCATCTATTCTTTCTACTCCACATGCCATGACCCGTTCTGCCTTTCCCCACCTCTGTAACATCTCCGGCTCCACCACTGTCTCACACCCCAGGCCGCCGAAACCCTCATTCATAACATCAAGGCTTCACTGTGCAAACTCCCTACTTTTCGGCCTCCTCAACTCCTTCTTCCACAGGCTGCAGATCATTCAGCACGCTGCAGCCTGTGTCCTCTCCCGCACCAGGCTCCGTGACCCTATCACCCCCATCCTCGCCCGACTCCACTGGCTTCTCATCACAGTTCAAGATCCTGGTCCTCACTTTCAAAGCTCTTGATGGCCTTGTTCCCCCCTACCTCTGCAACCTCCTAACCCCTTACCATTCTGTCCGCTCCCTCCGCTCAGCGGGCTCCGGCCTGCTTTACGTCCTCCACCTCGCCCACCCCACCATTGGTAGGCAGGCTTTCTACCACTCTGCCTCTACCCTCTGGAACTCCATCCTGCAGTCCCTGCACCTTTCCCCCTTCCTTGCCTATATCAAGATCCATCTCAAGATCCTCCTCTTCGACCTGTTTCCCCAACTGCCCTCCACCCTCCCTAATCCCGGCCCCAGCTCAGGTCCGAATCACTAACTGGCCAGCGCCTTAGGACATCCTCCCGACGTGAAAGGCACTACAAATGTAATTTTGTTGTTGTTGTTGTTCAACATGGAAGCTAACTTTCTGCAATTTTTCAGATTAAAACTGAATTTACCACAATTCTACATAATTTTAAGTGTTAAGACTAAAAGATCTTATTGTCTAATACTAGGAGTGTCAGCTACATTAAATGAATTAAAAGTCCCAAAACTGGGCTTGAAACAACAACCTTCTGACTTAGAGGTAAGAATGCTCCCGACTGAGCCAGGCTAACACTCGGTAAGATAAGATCACAGAATGGAAGAAAGTTTTGTACCTTCACAAAGTGCTATGCAGTTCAGGTTCCGACTCTGTAAAAATCTTGACTGAATGGGTCTGGTCTGTAGGAGTGAAAAACAGATAGAGATTAGATATGTGAAACAACCAGAAATCAGTGAACGCTGCTTTAACCCGAGTACTTTTTTCACCATTCAATAGTCATAGGTTTGGTTCTCTGCCTACATCAGGGTGGGCTGGTAAATTGGCAAGCAAATGCAGAGAAATGGTACTAGAGGGGACAGAGAAGTGGCAGGGAATTGAGGTTAGGAGGAGCAAACACTGACACAAAACAATGACCAAATGGCCAAAGGGGAATAATATGTAGTGGCATGAGCAGAAGGCATTTAAATTGATCTGAATAGCTGTCACAGACACAATGGTCCGAATGGCTTTCTTCTGTACTGTGAGTGTCCATGGTCCTGTGTCCTCCTACTGTGTCATTACAGCTTTATGGATTCCTCATAGGATTTTTGTCAGTCTACAGTCACATTAGCAGAACAAGATGGGCAATGGGGAGGGTAGAGGCGGTAGAGTAAGAGTAGAAGGTCAGTGTTGGTACTAATACCTGGGGAATAGTGTTCATCCTGTTGTAGCGTAATACCAATTCGTCTTTCGATGGCATTCGGTGCTGGCCTTTACCCATTCCTACAAAAGAAACTCCCATGTTTTACCTCTCCACTTCTCAAAAGACACACTGATCACCGTGCTGCTTTGTGGCCATTTCAGCCTGAAATTAATACAAGACTGGAAAAGAAATACCAAGAGACGAACCTTGATTCACCTCCACACTCTGCCTTTACCCTCACCTTTGTTGTAACCTGTCTTCATCTCTGGTGTTAATAAAATACTTTGGCTCAGATGAAATGGCACTGTCCTTCCTCAGTTCAAATACAGTGGAAGCATCACATCCACTTACAGTAGATGCACAGTGATATGAACACAAACATCACATGCTGAAAAAACATATTTTATTGACAGGACAAAGTCGACTCAACAACTTGTGTGACAACAGAGACAAGATTTACATTTATTGGGATAGGATCGAGACTTTTTTCCACTGCAGAACAGAGAAAGTTAAGAGAGTTTTCAACAGAGCTTCTCAACATGCTAAAAGGCTTTGCTTGGTGACTTGCTAACAAGGGGGCATGACGACAGAGGTGTCACTGGAAGCATTAAAGGGGACGATATAAAAATATTTTCACGCACAAGTTTATTAGAACCGCTGCAATACTTTCCCACCAGTGGCTATTGAAGCGATTAACATTTAAAAGAGAATTGGATTGGTATTTGAAAAGGAATAAAAAGGGAATGATGTAGAATAAATATGAAATAGAATAATATGAAAATAATATGAGGAATAATATGAAAATATCTATGCGATTCTGCCCGACTCCACTGGCTCCCCATCCCCCAGAGGATCGAATTCAAGGCCATCCATTCAAGGCTCACCCCTACACCATCCCTTCCCCATGCTTGGACCCCGACAACTAACTGTTCAGCGCTTTGGGACGTCCTCCCGACGTGAAAGGCACTCTATAAATGTAATTTTGTTGTTGTCTCTGTTCCCAAGAGGAGAATTGGGAACAATTCTGTCCTCTGTGCTCAATTGGAAACAAAGAGTATCCAGTGCCTTGGGACGTCCTCCCGACGTGAAAGGCGCTATACAAATGTATTTTTCTTGTTGTCGCAATTTCTACAGTTTGGTTTGGATGCTCTGACACATGCGGAAACCCATCACCGTGCTTAAGACACCCGGCTGACCACCCAAAAAAAATTCCCCTTCTTTCGACTCATCAACAAATTGAAATGGAGGCATAGCTGGTTGATGCATCAAGTAGACTGGTTGATATAACTAGTTGACTGGTTCGTTAGTTTCATTCTGGAACTGTTGGCTAATTCAGGACACAGGTGAAGTGCACAAAGGTCACTTACCTGAGTATCCGAAAGAAATGCTGGAGATTGGGCTGAGATAGATTCCTTTGCCATAGGCTGCACCGTGCAGCTTGTAAGAAACAGTTAGTGTGATCATTATGACTACATTGAATAAACACTTGAATTGTACTGAAGGCTTAAGCCTAGCATAGAGGGTCAATTTTACGCCATTTCTTAATTAATTTCTTCATTAAAGGCATGGATTTAGTGAAGTCTCCTTCCAGTAAAGACATCCACCCAATGCAAGTGGAAACCACACTGTGAACATGGAATGAATTGGAAGTGGAGTTCTTGCCAGCTGGCAACACAGACTCCAGCATTTCTTAATTAAGCAACATCGCAAAATTGATCCCACTATTTCACAGACAGCAACCCTGAATGGAACAACGTACAGAGCCTTTCACTCTGCACGACACCAACGACCCACCAAGAGAAGTGAAAAGAGAATAATCAAGGAGCCCTTTAAATTGTCGTTTCTTCAGAGCTTTCTTGAGCCCTGGATATGTACAGGACTTTGATGAGATTTGGAATGATACAATATTTTCTTACAATAATGTCGACACAAGTTGAATCAATTTTATGCGGCATTTAAAGGTGCAGCTTGGAGTACAAGCTGCAAAGCAAGATGACAAACATGTTGAGGCTGATTTTCTAAGGCAAACAGAGTTGTTGGTGGGGTCTATTGAATGGGGATAGAGCACCTTGCTCTGAGAGCTGGTGCAGACTGTAAAGTTCTATGATTCTATGCCAATCACTAAAAAAGCAAGTTTTTGGTTACCCCACCCGCCCTCCCGTTATAAAGAGTGGCTACATTTCTCGGGCAGCCTATAATTCCTTTCAGTTACAAACACATGGAAGAAACGACAGAGAATCAGACGTGGTCAAAGATCGGGCTGAGTACAGCCCCATTCATGAATGCTTCTGTTGTTCTCATATCTCACCACAATGCAGTTTATTCCAGTCTCTGGAATCAGATAACTCTTTACACTTCACCATTAATTATCAAATGGAAACAGTCGGGGTGCTATTGGGCAAATCCTTTTTTCTAAATAACTCAGGAAGATAAATACCCCTGCCAGTCTGATTTATTATCGTCATGTCTTAATGATAATAATCCTTGCATTTGATTTAGCTCCTTATCACGTCTTCGAGACGTCTCAAAACGCTTCACAGCTTATACTGTAAAGTGGATTAACTGTATATTTTGTGGTTGAAACATGACAGACAGTTGCGCTCAGCAGCATTCCCTCAAACAGCCACGGAGCGAGTGATCAATTTGGGGATATGTTGACCAGGACACTGGGAGAGAGGAACTCCCTTCTCTTTTCGAATAGTGCCATGGGATCTTTAAAGTCCGCCTGAACAGGCAGACGGGAACCTCGGTTTAACGTTTCATCCGAAGGACGGCACCTCTGACACCGCAAAGCCCCTCAGCACTGCACTGGGAGGGAAAGCTCATTGGACCTTTCAGAGGAACGGAACCGTATTCTAGACTCTTATTGACAAGGGAACACTTACTTGTAACTTAGTATAAGAAGCATTGACGAGACCATTTCTCAGAATAGAATGCCAGTTCTCGATGTGCGATCCACTGAAAAAGAAAGATACAGAGGGGGGGAATGAGAAAAGCGGCAGGGGAAATGAATTGGAACTCAAAGTGACTAAAATTATCGTGAATCAATCTCCTTTGTGATTGATATAGCACCTTATCACATTTTTCAAACCTCTCAAAGCTCTTCGCAGGATTTGCGTGTGCAAAGTGTGGTGACTGTGTATTGTTGTAGGAAGAGCATTGTAGCAAATTTGAAGGACCTTTTTTTTAATTACTTGGTGTATTGTTGGCCAGGACGCCGGGAGAAATTCCTTATTTTTTCAAAGAGTGACACGGGATCTTTTAACGTCCGACTGAACAGGCAGATGGGATCTCAGTTGAACTTCTCAACTGGGGGAGACAGCATCTCCAACAATGCAGCGCTCCTCCAATAATACACTGGAGTGTCAGTCTAGACTGTGAGCTCACAGGAGTGCTACCAACTGAGGTCAACTTCCCTCCGGCCACCCTTGCTGCTATCTTTAATGAGCATGACCTCCGAGACAGAATATGAAGCCACTTGTAAGTATTGGCTCTCGGCCAGGCTGCCTAAATCACTCAATAGTCGCTGGGACAATACTCTATGATGAAGATAATAATAATAATAATAATAATAATAATAATAACAATAACAATAAGCATCATCTTTGAGTTCAATATAGTGCCTTTGGCACCGACAGAACATCGGTCAAAGTGCTTCACAAGATTTACAATACGAATCCTTACATATCATATAGCGCCTTACCATGACATTGAGACGTCTCAAAGCGCTTCACAGAATATATTGTAAAGTGGAATGACTGCGTATTTTGTGGGCGAAACGCAGCAGCCAATTGCAACCAGTAGTGTCCACAAACAGTCGTGGATTGAGTAACCACATTTTTTTTAAAAACTGTAAAGTGTAGTAACTGTGTAGGCAAACACTGCAGCGACGCTGTGACTTACTGGAAGGCGAAAGTGCTGCCATAGAGCTTTTTGGCTGTGCGAAAACGGGCCTCCTTGGCGGGTGGGCTGCTCAGGAGGAGAAACTGATGTGACGTGTGCATGAATTTCAACTGCTGTGAAAAGAGAAGATGTGGCAAGGTTCAAGAAGTCTTTGCAGCGTCCAGGGCTAAGAGGGAGGGATTCCTTTTGTAGAGATTTACAGACTGCTTGTGTTCCTTTCCTTTACCTTTTTAATCCGATAATAATAATCCTTGCATTTGATGCAACGCCCTCCTCATCATCTGATTGAGAAGTCTCAAAGCTCTTCACAGGATAAACTGTCAAACGGTTTTACTGTATATTTTTGTGGGCGAAACGTGGCAGCCAGTTGCACGTCCCACAAACAGTCAAGGAGTGAATGACCAATTTTATCTGAGAGATTGTTGGCCAGGATACCGGGAGAGAGAAAATCCCTCCTCTGTTTCAAATTGTGCTATGGGATCTTTTTTAACATCTACCTGAAAAACAGGCAGAAGGAAGTGGACGCGGAGGAGATTAACAATCCTTGCATTTGCATTTAATAACAAACCTTGGATTTGGTATAACACCTTTCACACCGGGAAGACGCTACAAAGCACTTCACAGGATATACCGGGAGAACGCCCTCCTTTATTCAAATGCTGCCAAGGGATCTTAATATCCTCTTGAACAAGTGGTGGGACCATAGTTTAACATCTCATCTGAAGGACAGCACTTCCCCCAACACTGTATTGGAGTGTCAGCTTAGACTATGTGATTCCAAGTCCCAACGTGGGGCTTGAACTCACATCCTTCTGACTCAAAGGCCCTACCACTGTACCACGCTGACGTATATATTTCGCTGATTCAGAAAGTCAGCGGATTCCCTTTTAAAAGCTAATCAGGATTCTGCCTTAACCACAGTTCCATGACAGGCAGTCCACTTCCTGACAGCTTTCTGTGTGATTATTTTTTCCTCACTAAAACATTGACGATTTGTGTTTATTCACGTAGGTTAACATCTCGGAGTGCTGCACAGTGGCGTGGATGGACCTTGAGTACCATGAGGCAGGGGTGGGGGGGAGGCGGGGCGAAGGAGGAGGTGACCCTAGGTATAGTCGAAGAGGTAGGTTCTTATCTGTCCCTTTGGGCCCTTTGGCTCTCAGGAAAACAGGAATAGGAGGAGGCACTTGCATTTGATACAGCACCATATCACGCAGTTGAAGTGATCCAAAGTGCTTCATGGGATTTTACTGTGCAGTACAGTGACTGTGTGTTTGTAGGCCAATGCTCTTGTGCAGCATTTCTAGGATATCTCTGCAAATTGGCAGCCATATTCACCTACAGAACGTGCAGTCACTACACTTTGAGACGTCCTCCTGACGTGAAAGGTTTCTCTACCAAATGCAAACATTGCCATTATCAGTATTAAATTTAAAATGCAACTTAAGTGAAGCCCAGACCGATAAGGTCCCAGGCTGGATTGCCAGTCTGTTCTAGGTTAGCTTGTCTCAGTAGAGAGCATAAAATCAGCCTCCTTATTCCTTCTGCTCGGATGCAGTTCCAAGCCTCTAGGCATTGTCTGCTGCTGTGCCAAAGTGACCATTATTCATTCTGAGAGCTATGGCAGTTGTTGGCAGGGTATTCCACTGTGCGGGGCATTGCAGTCAAGCTTGAGTCTTGTCTTCACCAGACAACTACACAGACACGCACATACATACAGCAGTGCTCTCTGAATCATGATCAGAATCAGGAATCCCTGCTGATAACCTTTTTTCCTCCATAACCCAAGCTCCAAAGATCAAACTGGACAATCAAGGTGGGAAGCTTGCCAGACAGCGGTTTATGGTTTCAGCTGGTTAAACTCCACCATTATTTTGGAATGGGGACCCCCAAGCCTCGTCTCTTGCCAACCTACATTTAATAATCTCTAGAATTAGGTAAGGAGAGGGTGCATTCCATTCCTGGCATGGGAAATATCTATGCGTAGGTGGAGTACATATGTGGATTCCTCCCCCACCCCAGTACCCCCCAGAAGGATTGTCACCAGTTGGTCATTTAAATCCGCTAACCGCACACACAGGTACACCACATACACCTGCAAGACTCTGCCTTATATACAGTGTAAGTGGGATTGCTGCATTATTTTATATTTTGAATCCCATTACTGGATCCAACTTGAAAATGCCACAAAAAAGATTTTTTGCAGCGAGTCAAATCAACCAGTTGCCCAATTATATATGTGACTGACCCACTAGAACGTTGGTCACAGTGGGTATCTCCACCTCGGTTTCCATGGAGAAAGATTGCAGACCAAGAACATTTGGAGAGAGGCAATCGTTAATAACATAGCACAGAAACTAAATTCGCTCAGATACCAGGAGAGGTTCAGGTGAAGAAGGCCCTTGGCCCATTTTATCTCATCCTTCCAAAACATCCACCCTACCGTCCTCCCATCACAGTATCAAGCAGTTTCTTAAATGAATCCAGTGCCCTGACCTCAATCACCCTTCCTGGTAACTTGGTGCAGTAGTTTGTTTTAGCATCTGGTAAATAAATACTTCCTCGTGTCTGTTCTGTTCTGAAGTTGTCCTCTGCAACCCTCTTGTTCTGCTTGTTGACGGATCTGAAGTATTGCGGTGGGTTTACTTTTTCAATCCCATTTAAAATGTCATGCAAACCCATAAGATTCCCCCTGAGACAGAGTTATGTAGTGCGTTAAGGCAAGGAAACAGGCCATTTGGCCCAACTAGTGTCAGTGTGAACATTTCACATGAGCCTCAACCGCTCCTATTCCACTCTCTTACAACCACCTATTCCCTTCTCCCTCATGTACACATTGTGATGGCTCTTCCTTTCAAGGCTGATCTGAAAATGTGCAATGCTGTACCTGGCAAAGTGTAATGGACTGAAATCACTTACTCTGCTGAGGGGCAGTTTCACAATGTGAGATCGGTTACTTGAGATGATCCTACAAAAAGAATGGAGAATAATTGATTTTTAACCTTTGATTTCTAATAATAATAATAATAATCCTTGCATTTGATATAGCGCCTCACGATATCGTTGAGACGTCTCAAAGCGCTTCACAGCATGTATTGTGTATTTTGTGGGCGAAACGCGGCAGCCAATTGCACACAGCAGTATCCCACAAAGTGTCGTGGATTGAGTGACCAAATTAGTATGTACTATATACGAATTAGTATGTACTAATTTGGTCACGCAATCCGCGACTTTTGTGGGACACTGCTACGTGCAATTAACTGTCGCTACGTATTTCCCCCCCTCAACCTTAATTTTAAGGACTATGGGATTTTCCCTTCATAAACACACATCACCGAGAGGACCGAAATTCGACATAGTGAGACTATTTTTTCTTAAAGGCTGGATTAGAATTGTGGAAAAAACCTTCAATTCAGTTTCCCTTTGGAAACTAATTCGTTTTTAAGAACTGCGGAAAACCGACTTCGAAATATAAGGCTGCATTGAAGAATTTTATACAATACTGCAAAGTCGTTCTTAGGGTGAGACTCTAAACTGAGGTCCCGCCTGTACCTGTTCAAGTGCACTTTAAAGATCCCTTAATACGATCCGAAAAAAGAGTGGAGTTTCTCCCAGTATCCAGGTCATCAATCCCTCCAAGATAAATTGGTCACTCACTCATAGTGTGCAAACAAAATACACAGTCACTCCACTTTACACTCTACCTAGCAAATCCCATGCGATATCTCGTGGATACGATAATTCGCTATTATTGAATAGAAATATTATTAAGGATTATGATGTTACATTTTAAGATAAAATGGGCTCACAGGCTAAAACTAGGGAGAATTTCAGTTATAATGCCAGTCAACTGATCGATGAATGAAGAATAATTAATTGGATTTTTAAAACTGGAATCAAATAATTTCTCCTCCCAGGAGTTCATTATTGGATTGAGAATGTCCAAACAAAAAATCGTTCAGCTTTAAAAGATAAATATTAGACGTGGAATATTCTGTATTTTTATGGTACAATAAATCTATGAGTTAGTTACTTAATTTAGAGTTAAAAACAATTAAAATCTCTGTCCACTCTGAGCCTCATTGAAGATGTCTCAGTAAAATATTATTATCACTGGTTCATATAAATCAAATTATTCTATTAATTAATAATTAAAGTTAGAGGTTGTTTTTGGTCAGCCGGGTGTCTGATACCTGTGGAAACCCATTACCATGCTTAAGAGTAGCCAAACCAAACTGAGAATTCCATGCCTCCCACTTACACATGGAAATTCCAGAGATATTTGTTGCAATCAAATACATATTCTCTCCCTGGAGGGATGTATCCTGTTTACTTAATTCTGGAAAGTATTAGGTGCAGGTTGGCAAGAGCCATGGCTTGAGGACCCCAGAATATGCGTTGGGTTAACTGCTAGAGTCCAACCAGCTGGAATACTGCAGACCCAACTGGCTCAGGACACCACCTGGTTGAACACCATACTTTGTGATTCAAATCATAACTTGTCCCAGATTTAACTACCAACGCTAATACTTTCTCTTACCCCTGAATGGATTTACATTTCAACAAGGTACATTCTTCATAGGTATAATAATTTTTTCATTTGCATTGTGTTTCATGTGGGAGGACATCTCAAAGCACTTCACAGGAATTACTGTAAACTGTAGTGACTGGATTTTGTGAGTGAATGCAGCAGCCGATTTGGGGTACAGCAGTGACCTACAAATAGCCATGGAGTTAGTAACCAATTTTATCTGGGGGATTTTTAGCCAGAACACCGGGGGATACTCCCTTCTCTTTTCAGTAATGCCATGGGATCTTTAAGGTCGACCTGAACAAGCAGAAGGGAACTTGGTTCAACTCTCCAACCGAAGGCGGCACCTCTGACAATTTCTTTTATCCACAGGGTCATTAACAAGAGCCCTTCTCTCACTTGGGTGAACCATTATAAGTGTCAGCCTGGACTGTGTGAACTCAAAGTCCCAATGTAGGGGCTTGAACCCACAACCTTCAGACTCAGAGGCGAGAACGGAGGTAACCAATCCTAGGCTGATACCTACTCTTGAGGCTAACGGAGCCTCATTTCACTATAAAGAAAAGAAAGTCTCTAATTGATTAACAAGGGAACGAGCCAGATATTAAGACTTGAAATCGCACATAGATGAGATACCATTGCAAGAGTGGGTGGGCCAGGGGGTCAAGTTTGTCCATTTGCTTCTTGATCTCCAAGTATGATCCCTAAAAGACACAATAGTAAGATACTTGTTAAGCTTTTGTTAAAACTATGTATAGTTAGAGGCATGAAATTCCATCTGGTCTCAGCTCGTGAGAACATTTTTGTTCGGCTTAAAATTTTAGATGGTGCAGAATTATGGACAATTCTGCAATCTTAATTCACATATTAATTTGGAAGCCGGTTTATTTTGAGCAACTTCAAAATCAAGACTGAATTGGAGAAATTTCCTCAATTCTCAGCAATCTTAAGTCTTGGAAATTTTCCAAATTTTTATTTTTTATGCAGTTGTTCCAAAAAAACAGCTTCTGAATTAATCTGGAATTTAAGGATTTTCCATGATTTTAATCCACTTTAAATGATAAAGATGGTCTCGCAGTCTGAGTGTAGGTGCACATTCAGGCCTCTACAGTACAGTAAGTGTACTGTAAGGTGCACTTACACTTACAGTAAGGTCAAGGAAGTGGGAGCGCAGGACTTCAGGAAACTGGGCACAATTATAAAAGCAGAATAATTAACAGCTAACCCTAACGTTTTTGAGAAAAAGAGAGAAATAGCAGGAGTTGAACTGAGATTAATTAAACCTCAAAATCGCCTTAATTTCTAAGATGAAAGGGAATTAACAACAAGCAATATTGCAATGATCTCATACGTTTTGAAGAACAAATTAGATATCAAATATTGAGAGCTTTAGAGATTTGTTACTTTCCAGTTATAATTCTGAATAATGTTTTAATTATCGGCACTTAAAGATTTTAGAGCAGGCACTTAGCTTAAATTTTAGATTTGATACTTTTGGGCCTTAAATTTGATTGAACGGAGTAACTTTAGATATGAAAAAGAGGTTGAAACCCTTCCCATCTCCTTCGGCTCCCACCCCCGGCTCAGGTGTCCAGCCAGCAGTGTTAAATGCTTTGACACACCCACTCGACATGAATATATGCGTATATCTGAACTGTATTGTATTGCAATGCACTTGGCGTTAACTGGCACCATTATCTTAACTGAAAATAAAACAAAAGGTGAAAAGAAATACACTAGTGTGTCATTATATAATGGTCCTTGCATTTGACATAGCGTCATTGAGATGTCTCAAAATGCTTCGCAGATCATATTGTAAAGTAAATTGACTTTGTACTTTGTGGCTGAAATGAGGCAGCCAAATGAGCACAAAAGTTTCCCATAAACAGTCATGGATTAAGTGACCCAAATTTGGTCTTTTTTAAGGGAATATTACCCCCAGAAAGCGATCCGCCAATCGACTAACAACCGGGTTCCTATTTACTACTAGGTAAACAGAAGTAAGGAAACTTGCCTAAAATTTCGCCCTACCTGCTGGAGATAGAACCCGAATGATATGTTGACCTGGAAGTTGACCATATTTTGCTAGACATCAGGAGAGGCTTTGGGCCTCAGGCTATCCTTAAATTTCTCAGGGACTGACACACTCGCTGTGAGAGTGTTGTTTCTGCCTGATCAGCAGCAATCCTTTGCGCGTCCAGTAGTAATTTAATTGTAGCTAACTCCACCATCGAGGCAATGAGTGTCACCGAAGACCTACCTGTGTCATTTCTCTAATGGACATCACGCTATCCAGGGCCTTCTGAAGTCTCTCGTAGTTCTTTTTCTAGAAAGTGGGGATAAAGGAGCATGGTAAGACGACAACACCACCAACAACTTGCATTTATATAGCGCCACTCGCACAGGGTAGTGTCCCAGAGCGCTTGACATTGGCTGAGCACGCCAAGCTGGGGGGAGGGGGAGGTGACTGTAGGCACGGTCAAAGAGGAAGATCTTCAGGCATGATCTGAAGATAGGGAAGGAAGGGGGAATAGAGAAAGAGAGTTCCAGAGCTTCAGGGCATAGTGGCTGAAAATGTGGCCACCAATGGTGGAACGGTTGGCACAAGGCACGAGCAGGCGGCCGGAGCCAGTTGAGCGGAGGCAGAGGGTAGTGGGTTGGAGTAATCAGTTCGGAGAGATAGGGAGGTGCCAGGGCTTGAAGGCATTTGAAGACTAGTGTGAGAATCTTGAAATCGATCCATTCAGTGATAGGGAGCCAGTGGTGTGATGGGGGTACGGAGTTTAGTGCGGATGAGAAAACATGGGGTTGTCCAGTGGTAAAGTTGGGAGGCAGTGTGAGGGTGCCAGCAGTTCAGAGCTGCTAAGTCATTTGCATTGATCACAGGAAGTCATCGGTAAAGTCAAGACAGAGGCAGAGCTAAACAGATCTCTTTCAAACACCTGGCATAGGCACCGTGAGCTGAATGGCCTCCATCTGTGCTGTGGGCCTCCACCCAAAGTGCAAACACACTCACCTGCAGCAATAAAGAGAGACCCATAGAGATCATCTCACTTACACGAGTGGAAAGTTGGGAGATGCCAAAGCTGGTGACTGATACGAGGTTGTTTCACACATGGCTCACCTTGGGATTAAAAGCCAGTGTTTTGGGATCACTGGGGTCCACCACAGAAGGATAAGGTTCAAATATGATACTTTTTCTGGGAGATTCCAGAGCCGCTCGGCACATCGCCACCAGCAAGTCAACCACCTAAAGGGAAAGTTTCTCTTAGAACGCTTTGATCCTGACACTTGGCTCACACTTTAACACAGATAATCAAAATGATACAGATCAGAGCGAGGCACCGGTCAGGGTGAGACGCACATCAGGGTTAGACACATAGCTGAGTTTATTGTCTACCTCCGCTCCTGTGGCGACCTCCTCTGCTGCTCCTGACATCACCCCCAGTGTGTAGAAGGAGAAAACGCACAGTTCCCGTGTGCATACAGCAGGCTGCGGGGGTGAGGGGGAGGGAGGATGGGTAGACAATAAAGAAGAAAGAGTATTAGTGTTTGTAATAAGCTAAGCCTCAGTCACAACAGCATGTTTACCGCCAGGAGGAGTCTCAGAGATCTTCACAAGATTTAGAGTAAAGTGTAGTCACTATGTGTTTTGTGGACAAACGTGGCAGCCAATGTATGCCTGGAAATGTCCCACAAAGAGCCATGAAGTGTATGACCAATATTATCTGGAATTGTTGGCCAGGACACTGAGAGAAGTTCCATTCTCTTTTCGAATAGTGCCATAGAATCTTTAACATCCACCTGCACAGGCAGGTAGGACCTCAGTTTAATGTCTCATCAGAAGGACAGTACCTCCGACAATGCAACACCCCCAAGCGCTGCACTGGAGTGTCAGCCTAGAGTCCTGATTTGAGGCTTAAACTCATAACCATTTGATTCAGAGAAATGAGAAAAGACTCATTCTAATGGCTCACTTAATGCATATTAAATGCAGCTCCCTTTGAAAGATACCAATTCACTCAAGATTAACCCCAAGAGTTTGTGGATCCAATACTGTAACATCTGGCTGTGTAACTGGCTGGCAGGAGGGATGTAAGAGGTGCCAGGTGATTTGAAGTCTAATTCTGGCTGCAAAATTGCAGGGAAATCACCTTCTGCTAAGCCACCCTTCCCCTCGGCTTGACCCATAAACCGTGATTAGAAACATGGCATGTGGGAAACCATGAGCAAAGAAAATGGGCAACACTCCATGGCCTGGGGTGATCTGAACAACCTCACTGCTCCACTGTTCCCTCATTACCGGAAACATATTGTAAAACTGCAGGGAAGAAATCCTTCCTGGGTCTAGATCTAATAATAGTGCTTCATAGAATATACAGTAAAGTGAATTGACTGTGTATTTTGTGGGCAAAACGTGGCAGCCAATTGTGCACAGCAGCGTCGCACAAACATTCAGGATTTCTCCTCCAATGTAGCTTACCTTCAGCATTGATCCATTCTGAAAGACATGTTGCTCATCACACACCACACAGTATTCGTTTAGCGTTGGAATCCTCTGCTCAGCGTATTTCATGGCCTAAATACAATTTTTTTACTGAAATTAATGAACAAATAATAATAATAATAATTCATACATTTAATATGGCACCTTATCACTTATCTAAAACTTCACGAATCTATCCGCTGCCTCTGCCTGTTCCATGTACCCCATTCTACCAGCTCCACTATCGGCGGTCGGGCCTTCAGCCTTTCTACCTCCACTCTCTGGAACTCGATCCCAGAGCCCCTCCGCCTCAACCTCTCCCTCGTCTCTCCCAAAGCCCGACTCAAGACCTTCCTTTTCAACCGTGTCTTTGGTCATCTTCCCTTCTCTAACCCCCCTTGCTCTCTCTCCCCCCCTCTAATCCCAAGCTGCAGCTCAGGTGGTGAACACCTCATTGTCCAGCACCTTGGGATGCCCTCCCGACATGAAAGGCACTATATAAACGCAATTTGCTGTTGTTGTTATCACGTCATCGAGAGGTCTCAAAACTCTTCATGGGATTTAACTGTAAAATGGAGTTACTGCGTACTTGTAGGTAAACGTGGCAGCCAATTTGCACACAGCCATGTCCCACAAACCGCCATCAAGTAAATAACCAATTTTATCTGTTTGGGCAAACTTGTTTCCCTTTACAAATCGTGCCACAAGATCTTTTACATCCACCGGAACAGGCAGGCGGGATCTTGGTTTAACGTCTCACCTGAAGGACGACATCTCTGACATGCAAAGCTTCCCCCAGCACTGCACTGGAGCATCGGCCTAGACTACATATGCTTCCCATACTACATGCTGCCGTTATCCTTTGTGAAGCACCCCTGCCTTATTGATGCTCTGCACAAACAAACTGATGCAAGTTTGATGAAATGAATCCATCGAACACATAGCTACGATAAATGAAGTGTGCACGCATTTAAGATGAAAATCGATCACACGAAAAATTCCAGCTTGCGTCAGCCACAATGTCCCTTGATGTGCGTAGCCCAGATCTGTCCGGAAAGGTAATAAACAGATCAATAACTGCTTAGTGATTCACTGTATCTCTCCAGCAAACCAGCTACACAGAAAGGTTGAGCTTCCAATCTTTGCAATAAATGATAGTGCTGGGCCATTAATGCTATTGGACAACCATTAACAAGTTCTTCCCAATTGCACGGCCTTTAGATGAATACTCCTAAGATGGCAAGTGGGAACTGCTGCCAGTTCTTATATTATATTTGAAGTAATGTCTCGGTTCCCCAGAGTCAAATTTAGTCTGTGCGAGGATTCAATTTTACCCTGGTTGAGCAATAGTGAATGCTTTACCATTAGTCATTTAGCTTCCATTCAAAAGATTGGACTTTCAGATGGAACGGACAAATGTAACATGGGAGACCATGGAAATGCATTGTCCTTCTTTCCCCGAAGATAAGGAGCGGTGGGTGGTAATTTATTGTTACCTGTGTTTGTTGCTTTACATTTTACACCTACACATAGGCCAGAAATTCCATCTGGGTGTAGACTGGCACTATCTTCAGAGTGTGCCAAATTTGGCAGATTCTTACTTTTTGAAGTCGTGTATCTCTAGTTTCTATAAAAAAAATCTAAGGCGGCTTCAAAATCAAATGAATTTGAAAATCTGCACATTCTGGATCACCAAGAAAATACTGTTAGTCTAAACCACATAGAAGTTCTTCCCTTTACTACCCCACCCCCAGCCCCCCCCACACACACAAGATCTGCAAATGTCTCAACACTTACCTGTACAAGAAAGCCATATTCTAGTGTTGGAATGTTCTTGCAGTGACTCCCAGCCTGCAGATAGATAAAGAGAAGACAAAATTGTGAGGCTTTCGTGCTTAACATTAAACCGAAACAGATCACGGCTCCAGGAAGTGCATAGAAATTGGAGGCTGTTGAGCCTATGGAATGTCATCTCCTTCACTGGAGTTCAACTACTCTAATCTCAGTTGGCTTTGCGCTCCTTTTACATTTAACTGTTCATCCACTTCCCTTTTAAATGTGGCTGTGAGCTCGGCCTCAGTAGTTGTCTCGTTTTCAAGATCGTCACACTCTCTCCCTTGATCCCTCCACCTTACCCGCATCCTTCCCCATCTTCAGTTCATGCCTGAACGACCTTCCTCTTCGACCGTAACTTACAGTCACACTCTCCCCGGCTAGAATCATGCTCCCTGCTGCCAAGCACTCTGGGACACTACCCTGCGCGAAGGGGCACTGTGTAAATGCAAGTTGTTGTGGTCGTGTTAAAGTATACCAAGACGGTTTCAGTTTGCTATGTTGTCAGAGCCAACAAAAGTTAATAGTCTGAGAACGTGTTGCAATCTTGAATAGCCTCCAAACCTTTCTTGCGTTATTGATCGTCTACAATGCTCCATCTTAGCTCACAACTCTCCCACTGGATATGTCATGGAGATAATCCTGTTTGATGGGACCTGTGTGCTACAGTCAGGTTTCACTCCATAAACAAGAGCAGGTACTTACAACAGAACACTATACCAGCAATGTAATGGGTTATCTGACAAGAAATGGACTCAACTGAGAATTGCAGTCTAATATACAGACAGATAATACAGTAATATCCATTATTTTAGAGCCTCCCAAAGAAAGCCTACTGCGTCTTGTCATTCATGATAGAGATGTTTCAGATTATGAAAGGATTCGATACAGTGGACATCCAATGAAGTGCTTCCATTTGTCGGTTAGACCAAAACTAGAAGACGTAGATATAAGATAACCAGAAACAGATGTATTAAGGCATAGAATATAGGTGGTGAGAATGTGGAACTCACTGCCCGAAGCTGTACTTGAGACAAAAGGCCACTATTAATGGATTATAGAATGTATGTGTAGGGGAGTCATGATAAGGCTCCTGTACATATCAATACTCTCACTGCTGATAGGAACATGGACAGACATTTACCCAAGTTTGTACATAGTCACGCATGTTGTAACAGATAGTATCTGTGCCTGTTTCAGTTGATCCTCCAATGTTGTTGGTCAGGACTGGCCTGGGCCAGAGTTTTGGGTCCTGTACACTGACGAGATAAACAAGGTACAATTCCACATTCCTGCTGTCACATTGCCTCAAATCAGCAATTTTAAACCAATTCAAATGAACAATTCACTGCAATTCTGAAAGCTTTTTGTTTTGTTATCGCCCAATTTATACACACAAATGTAAACTCCATCCACTTCTCTGTTTCATGACCTCCCGCCATGAACAATACCCAGGCTGCACAGCTTACCTGGTTGGCAGAGGGGTACCCGAATAGCTCTGGTTTGGGGGGCTTTATGGTACAGGAGATGGAACGGTTGATGATGCGATTGACTCGGAGATCAGGCACCCCGAGCTTGCTCTTTAGCACAGCATCCTGGATGAGGGGAAAACTTGGAGACCTACAAGGAATGATAAAGAACCATCAACAGCTGGGGTGGGGAGGGGTGGGTGGGTTCTGTGTTATCATATCAAATTGCAACATCGCTCGCTCAGGGTCACACATTTTCTTTTTGGTGGATGATACCCTCTATTGTTTCTAGCAAGACTAGTTTGAATGAATAAATTTCTTCGGTCCATCCGGTCTCATACTTCCAGAACGCCCACCCTACTATTCCACCTATCAGTGTCAGTTTCCCCAGCTAATTCACCCTACAGCAATAGTCAAGTTAAATGCCAAGGGAAATTACAGGCCCAATTCTGTGCCCCGTTGCTCCTAGCATTACCACATATCACTTAAGAGTTCTGACAGTATTCAAACCCATTTAACATCAGTAGAATCACAGATAATGCACAGCGTTTCTACTGATCCCAATTGCACTTTCCCATCTTTTTTGAAACAAACATACAACATAGACTGAGACGTCCTACTTTACTTTGGGATTGGTGAGAAGAAGCTGAGGCCTGAACGGAATTTCTTGATTGTTCCACTTGACTTAAACCAGCTCTGTCTCTTCTCCTGCTGATGCTTTAGGTAATCGTTGCTCAGGTGTTTCCATTGCTGTGAGGTGAACATTCCCAGGATTCTGAAAATGAGGAGCGCAAAAGATGGTCAATAGCAAAGGATGATTCACTGTCTTCACTGGCTCCCTTTCACCAAATGGATCAATTTTAAGATCCTCACACTTGTCTTCAAATTGCCTCATGCCCTGTCACCTCCCTGCCTCTCCAACCTGCTTATTCCCCAACACCCCCATCCGTTGCCTCTGCTCGACTGGCTCCAGCCTCCTGCACATCCCTCGTGCCCTCCGTTCCACCATCGGTGGCTGTTCTTTCAGTCACTATGTCCTGAAACTCTGGAACACTCTCCCTCAATCTCTTTGCATTGCCCCCTTCATTCCCCATCTTCACGTCGCACCTGAAGGCCTTCTGTTTCGAACATGCCTATGGTCACTTCCCCCCCTCCCCCAGCGCCACCCCCAATGGCATGTTCCATCACTGTCAAGCACTCTGGGACATTACCCTGCGTGAGGGGCGCTATATAAATTCAACTTGTTGTTGTTGTTTATTGTTGTTATTCACATCCCACACTCTAACTCCATTAAATGTGCACTTTCTGGGTCAACATTAGCTCCAGAACACACGCTCCAGAATTATATTTTAAAACACTCCAGAAGATGTTCCAAGAAAGATCCTGAACTGGATCAGCTCTAGAACATAGCCCAGGATCACGGTAGCTCCGGAACTTAATCGCTACAGCTTTAGACCTACTTAAGAATATATCCCATAGACTTATTCAGAATACATTGTGCAACCATACAGGTCATTTTTTTTATGGGTTTAATGGCTTTCTCATGAGAACTTTAATCATGTGAACCTTCACTATTTAACTCCATTAAAAACCTAAGTCATTTTGGAGCAATTTCAATTGAAATCTCTGTTTATCATGAAAAGTCAGTTGCGGTCAGTCAATCCCATTAAAGTGCATTTGGACTCAAGCACTTGAATTAAGTCTGGAGAAATGTACTTTAAAGTGGTCTGAGCATTTAAGTTCTAGTTGTTTCTGTGAAAACCTTCATTTGTTTAGAAAAAAGGAAAGATGGTTCATTATTTCAGTACAAATAACGAACAGAATTTTTTGATTAAGATGTTCTGACATTGAATACTTCCCTTCCCCTCCCTGTCACCAGAAACAGGGATATTTCCAAGTGTAGGTAGCATACATAAGCGGTACTTTCAGTCTGGTTTGGATACTCTTAAGCATGGGGATAGGTTTCCGCCTGTGTCCGACACCTGGCTGATCAATGCTAAAGCGTTCTCCCACCGATTAGCATCATGCAGCACTAGTTGTAGCATAAATCCACCAGAGGGTGACTCTGCAGAAGACTATTCCTGGAAATGGCTCTCATTTCTCACTGTAATACTCTCCAGCAGGCACACACCTTGGTGATAGCTCACAGGTGCATAACGGCTACATGTGTGAGGTCCTGCAGGTGATGGTGGTACCCCAGCACAAGGTCAGGAGAGAAGGGAACAAACTGTCGTGCTAGTGTCTTAACTGTGAGTCACTGGTGTTGGATCAAATAACTATATTGGCTGTATGTGTCATAAAGTACTGTTATTTTCTTCATCTCAAAGCAGCTTCTCATTTAGGATTTGAACGGGGGCAAAATGGCCCTCATGCATAGATGATGGAGGAGGGAATAGAGGGGTTTAGGAGAGAGGACTAGGAAGGATGGAGGTTTGTGAGCAGTGTAAACACTAGATCGGACTAGTTGGGCCGAATGCTTGTTTCCGTGATGTAGCAATCTAGGTAATTCTAAGTATTTTTACTGAACACAATGAGGATCAGATCATATAGAAAGAAACTGCGCAATGCTCTATGCAGCAGAACAGTTATAGAGATCCAGGATGATGGGTTACAAATCTCGGCTTTCAACCCAATATTGCCTCTTTGTTTCCCTTTCACAACTCTTAACAGCTGCTTTCTAAGAAAACAGAGTTTAGAGTTGACGACTGGACCATTGTGAGTATCAAGCACGTACTCGCACATCAGCTAAAGCACTGCCAGTTACAGAGCGTGTTTCACACTATTCTGCCCCTCAGTGGCTTAACATGCCATCTGCTATTGCTGTGCCTGCAGTGTAAACACACTGAGATGTCAGTCGGTCTAACAGTTTAAACACACTGCGATGCTTGTTTAGGTGGTGAGAATGTGGAAGCTGTGGGTGACACAGAAAGAATCAAAGTAACCTATCTAAGAAGAAAGTAGATGCATACATGAGGGAGAAGGGAATAGTGGGGTATAGGAGGGGGGAACGGAAGAGTTGGGGGCTACTTTGGAGTATAAACACCGGCGCACACTATTTGGACTGAACCACTCGTTTCTGTGCTGTAGAATTCTGTGTAATTCTATTTAACAACAGAAGAACATTTCAAGTGTTTCCTCAGGCCTGTAATAGTATCACATGAAAGGCTATTAAGAGTTTGTATGAATAAAACCCATCAAAACCTATAGTCTAGGATAATAAACTATAGGAAAAATAGCCTCTGTTCCAACCCAGGCTCACTATTTGCACCAGTGGTACATGTTGAAAAGCTGTTGAATTATATAACATGTTGGAAACTAAAACACTCACTTTTTCAGCTGTAGTCCAAGACCGAAGCCGTCTTTGTTGGATGGCTGGAATACCTCTACTGACGGTTCTGTAGGGTCAAAACAGTTGTCATTCATTCAAACTTAGAAATTTGACCTACCTGAACTATTGGGACATATCTCCATGTTCCTGATGAATTCATACCAATAATAAGCCTTACAATGTTAGGTCAGGGTAATAAGGGATACAGGGCAAGGGCCGATAATTGGACTTAAGGTACAGATCAGCCATGGTCTTATAGTATGGCGAAAGAGGCTCGAGGGGCTGAATGGCCTACTCCTGTTTCTATGTTGCATCAGATATTGGCGCTAGACCCTCAAAAGGTCTCGAAGCACTTTATAGATTAATCCCTGTCAAATGTGGTGGCTCTGCATTTGTAGACAAACGCGGCAGCCAATTTGCACACAGCAGGTGTCACAAGCTGCAGAGAAGGGTGTTGCCTGTAGCTCAGTGGAGTCCTGTAGCTCAGTAGTTAGAGCACTCGCCTCGCAAGCTACAGACCTGGGTTCGATTCCCGTCAGGTCAAAACCTTGGGCAAGTTTCCTTACTCCACACGCCTGATAATAATCCTTCAAGAAAAAAAAACAGTAATGAATTGGTCACTTCAATCCACGACTATTTGTGGGACACTGATGTGCGCAATTGGCTGCCAAGTTTCACCCACAAATATACAGTTAACTCACTTTACAGTATATTCTGTGAAGCGCTTTGAGACGTCTCGAAGACATAAAAAGCGCTATATCAAATGCAAGGATTATTATTATTTAATATTATTGCCAATTTATCTGGAGGATTGTTGGCCGGGACACTGAAAGAAACCCCACTATCTTTCTGATTGGCGTCCTGGAGCTTTAACGTCCACTTGATAAGGTGTTTCCAGGCAGGAATGGGACATGTCAGTATACTGTTGCTATCAGGGAACAAATACCCTTTCGTTTTGTGGATAATCATACAATAACAACAAATGAACTTGTATAGCGCCTATCATGTCGGGAGGTTGTCCCAAGGAGCTGGACAGTGAGGGATTCCCGAGCTGGGGTTTAACCGAAGGTGTGGTCAAAGAGGAGGGTCGTGAAACAAGCCTTGAAGGAGGCCAGGGAGGAGGCGAGGTGAAAGCACTGTGAGATGGAGTTGCAAAGGGTGGGGGAACAGAGGCTGAAGGCCAGACCGCCAATGGTGGAGCAGGCTGGACGGAGTACATGGAGCAGGACGGAGCTCGCTGAGAGGAGGGTTTGTGTAATCTACAGGAATTCACTTCAATATCATGGCTTCTCAGCACTCACCAGGTCCATCCAGGTACTGAGACAGAGAGAATCTCAGTCTGAGTACGATGGGTTCTGTCCGCGTCACTTTCCAGGCTGTGGCAATCTCCTCCTGCTTAACAAACCACATCCGTTACTTGGAGGGCCATTGCTATATTCAGGAAGATCGAGGGTTATTCTTGACTTTGTTACCACCTGCCTGGACTTTTCAAACATACTTTTGCGAAGTTGAATAAGATAGATTACAGGAGGATTTGAACATACTTGGGGAATTGGGCAAATTGATGGCAGATGAAATTCAATGTGGAGAAATGTACTTAACATAGGGGCAAAAAAACCTGGAAGGGACTATTATTTTAACTGAAGGAAAATAATATGTATGGAAAATGAAAAGGACAATGCTCTGTGGCAGTGAGTTAAGCAAACCAGATTTGGGATGTATCAAAAGATCAATAGCAGCCGAAATAGTGGAGTAATCCTGCCACTGTATAAATCATTGGTGAGACCATACTTAGAGTACTGTGTACAGTTCTGGTCGCCGCAGTACAAAATGGATATTGGAGAAATCGAGAAGATACAGAAGAGGGCAACCAAAATGATTGAGTGAATGGAAGGACTGGGCTATGAGGAGTGGCTAAGTAAATTGGGCATGTTCACGCTGGAAAAGGGAAGATTGAGAGGCAACATGATTGCTATCTTTAAGATACTGAAGGTGCAAAACAATAGGCTGTTTCAAGTTGTCCAGAATAGTAAAACCAGAGGACACGGCCTGAGATTGAAGGGGTGTAAATTAAAAATGAATCTACACAAACACTATTTCAGTGAACGAATAGTGAACCTGTGGAACAGGCTCCCTAGGGAAACAGTTGAAGAAGGAAATGTTGATTCTTTCAAATACAGATTAGATAGTTTTCTTTTAGGAAATAATATTATGGGATATAGTACATAGGGGAGTTTAGGATATATGTGTATACAATGCCAGGGAGGTGGAAGACGAATTAGATGGACCTTGGTCTTTTTTTCGTCTAGGATTCCTTATGTTCTCATGTCCCTTCCTCTAGTCCACAGTCTTGCCCGGACACTGTGTGTCTTTAGGTCCTGTCTTCCAACCTTCTTTGGGAGGGGATCTCTCCAGCCATGCAAACAACTGGCTGACCTGGTAAAATGGGCAAATTCCATCCACGACTCTTGTAACCGCAGAGAAAGCTTCTCAGCTCCTCTCCATCATCAATACCAAGCAGCACTCTCACCTTCCCACAGAAGATCTTAGCCTCCTGTCAACAAACTGCTGCAAAAATGCGGTTTGACTAATTGTTTTCTCCCACTTCCACCAAGCTCCTTTTAATTGCTTGGACTGAGATAATCAATTTGCACTTAATTCCCTTTCCAATACATTGTAATTGCTGTGCGCAATTGTCTGCCGAGTTTCACCCCAAAAATATACACTCAAATCATTTTACAGTAAATTTTGAGATGTCTCAATAATGTGATAAGGCGCTATATCAAATGCAAGGATTATCATCAAACATCTTTGCATTTGGAATAGTACGTCTCCCACAAAATATACAGTCAATTCACTTTACAGTATAACCTGTGAAGCGCTTTGAGACATCTCGAAGATGTGATAAGGCGCTATATCAAATGCCTGGATTATTATTATTATTATTATTAAGAGGAGGATGCACAGCACTTTACCATAGAGTGTAGAAACTGTACGTTTTGTAGGTGAATGCATCATACAATCAGCACACAGCAACACCCCATGTACAAAAGTGAAGTGAACGGTTAATTTTATCGTAGCCAGGACACCAGGAGAAACTCCTCTTCTCAACTAGTGTTGTGGGATCTTCAACATCCACCTTAAAAGGCAAACTAGTTTAATGTCCCATCTATAGGACAACACCTCTGACAATGCAAAGCTCTCTCAGCACTGCATTGGAGCATCATCCTCGACTACGTGAGTTCAAAGTCCCAACATGGGGCTTCTTCACATGATCTTCTGACTCAGAGGTGAGCGTGCCACCAACTGAGCCAGCTGACAACAACATTACATGGACATAGAGGGTGATTCCAGGTTTCACTAAGGGGCTTCTTATCCAATTCGCTGTCCAACATATGAAGTGGGGAGGACTTACATCAAGAAAACTCATATTAATGTGTAGGTCCACATCCACATCGTCGATCGTTCCATATTCCCTGCAACACAGAACACAGTCAATAAACCACACGCCTTTCAGAACTTTTCAAAGGTTTTTTGGGGGCTGTCACAATACCAGGCAGTCAATTTTGCAGCATTTCTTAACTGATTTCTTAATTAGGAAATAATCCCAATAGTGCCGAACCCAACACATAGGATTGGAGTGACGTGAAAGGAACGCTTAGCATTGAATGTTTTCACAGCACAAAATTGGGTGGTGATTCTTTCTATGCATCACAAGGTTGGTGTGAATGTGGGCCACAGCTCAGAGAGTGAGCAACCAAGGAGGGCAGAGCTGTCTTGGAAGAACATTGGCTTCCTCTTGACGAAAGGGTGGGCTGGACGAGAAATTAGAATGGGAGTCGTTGAACGCGGACACTTAGCGGAGAATAGGTTGTGACGGACCGTGAGACATTCCCACAAACCTAATTGGAGGAGTCCTTCCCACTTCTTCCCTCATGCAAATTCGGAAGGGGAAAGTCATTGATCATTCATCTCATCACAGTTACTGGAACCGTTGGTGTCTGGCACAGATTAGCTGCTGCGTTTGTCTGCATAAGAGTGACCATATTTCAAGAACAAGCACTGAACGTGGCTTGTTGTGGCGATAAGACTTGGCGTCAGGTGCAAATATTATTGCTTTTCCCCTGAACGGACGAAGGTGAGTTAACGATAGCTGTCATGCTGCCGGGCTGGGTGCTTTATGGGGTTGGAGGGCTCCAGCGTTGGGTGGGGAAGGGAGACGGAAGCTGACAGGCTCGGTTCCACCCTGCAGTGGCAATCGGAGAAGAATTGATGGAGCAGAGGCTTATAGCGTAGGCTGTCCCATCCTCCCATCACAGGGAGAAAGAAAATAAAATGCAGACGATTGAACAAAATAAAATAAAACAACATTGTTGATTTAAACGGATGTCTGGAGCTTTTTCAATCCCTCCCCACCTTCGTAAAAAAAAAGAAGCTCTAAGTAAATTATCAGGCAAACGAAAGGCACAGTTAACAGAAAAACCTGCCAGACTTTAAAATCTTTTAACGTTTAAACGCTTACCTGACAGAGACGGAATTCTCCCCATAGATTTCCTTTACTGCTTCTATGTCTGCGTCAAGCTGTGGGTGACGGTACAGATCAGCTGCACAGCTACCCTATAAAAACGGACACACGCTCTAATGTACTGTCGTGCCTTCCCGAGAAAGAGCTGTCAATGTTGTTGCTGCTGATGTCTTGGCCTGTTCAGGAACCCAGCCAGCTGAGGCCGACTCTCGCTCGCTCTCACTCTCGCTGTCTCTCCCCCCCCCCCCTGCAAGTGCTTGAATGATGGCAGTCGGGATGGGTGTACCGTTTGGATTTGAGTTTAAAGGGGGCAAGTCCTTTCCTTTCACTTGAGTGGAGTCCTGTAGCTCAGTGGTTAGAGCACTCGCTTTGCAAGTGAGAGACCTGAGTTCAATTCCAGGCAGAGGGTGAAACCTTGGGCAAGTTTCCTTACTCCACACAGAGCCTAATAATAATCCCTCCAAAACCAAAAACAATAATTAAATTGGTTATTTTCAATCTACGACTGTTTGTGGGACATTGCTGTGCACAATTGGCTGCCGCGTTCGCCCACAAATATACAGTCAATTCACTTTACAGTGTGTTCTGTGAAGCGCTTTGGGACGTCCTCCCGACGTGAAAAGCGCTATATCAAATGCAACGATTATTATTATTATTATTATTATCGATTTAGCCCATTCTCTGGAGTTTGTTAAAGGGGCTTGTGTCATCGTGTCAGAAAGTTGTGGACGGAGGGGCGGGGGTAGGGGTGGGGGGTGGGGGGGAGAATTAGACACCTGGAACAGCTTGTTCCAGACCAGCCACCATTATTCATTCACTCTGGGAAACACATCACGTTGCATTGGGGGCACCGTCTGGTGCAGTGTAAACTTTCCCTGGTGATTTATGCAACACAAAAGAATGAGTTTAACTTCAGAGGCTGGCACGATTCCACACTGTTACGCATTATTACACACTTTTGATTTATTCCGCACTATTGTACTATTTTACACTATTGCACCAATAGAAACTGTTGCACTAATTCACACAATTACACTGTTTCACACGATTTTGCACGATTCCACCCTCACGCACTTTTGTATTATTTCACACTATTGCACTATTATGCACTATTGCCCTATTTGCACTATTTTGCACTAGTGCATGTTTCCACACCACAACAGATGTATTTTTTCAACAGAGTTGTTAAATTGGAATTTTAAAAGAAAGATGCTACAACACATAATGCGGACATCTTTCCCCCTTCTCCCTCAACCTTCTGGTTCCCATCCCCACCTCAGGTGCCCAGCCAGCAGAATCAAGCATTTTGAGACGTCATTCCGACGTGAAAGGTGGTGTATAAATGTGTATTGGATTGTGTTATACGTTGGTTGTTTCATCTGGTCAAGAACAGTGGAACCAGACGACACAGCCTGCGATTAAAGTGGGATAAATTCAAGGGAAAGCTGCACAAGCACTATTTCAGTGAGCCAGCGATATATCTATGGAACAGGCTCCCTAGAGAGACGGTGGCAGCGGAAAATGTTGATTCCTTCAAATACAAATTAGATAAGATTTCTTTTAGGGAATAACATTTTGGGATACAGTATGTGAGTAATTTGAGACATGACGCCCAGTAAGTTTAATATACTTGGACGAACCAGGGCACTTTTGACCTAAAGTTCCCAAAGCTTTCCACTCTGCTGTGGACTAATCCATATAGAATTAATTGCTATTAACATCTCCATTATTGTTGCATGTACTACCAGGACGGTAGAAGGCGAACCAGATAGCCCTTGGTCCAGCAATTCCTATGTTCCTATATGGTGGCCTTGAATATTGGAGACGTATTTGGTTGGATTTCCCTCCTGGTTTCTGGGACTAGGGGAATACCCTCTAAACATCATCACAGCTGCGGGCAGTGCCAACCCGATAAAGGGAGAGTAGGCATATTTGCAGTGTTCACATACTGACCTCACACGCCTCCGAGTGGCCGTTGCTAAACATTACCGATAAAGACCTGGCCTAAGGTTAGTGGGAGCAGGCAAAAGTGATGGACAAACACAAGGGTAATCCTACCGCCTTCAGTGAAAAGGGAGTTGTGCCACAGTTGAGTGATGGGAACCTGCTTTGACTGGGCTAAGCCTGAAATTCCACCAAGCTTCCGCCCGTGACACAATTGCCTTGTGGAGGCGCAGAATTGAGGACAATTCTTAAAATTGGATCTCCATTCCGAAGCTGGTTTCTTTTCAAGAGCCGTGGGAAACTAAGATGGAATTTAAGAATCGACCACACTGCTGCCCGATCTTAATAATAACAATCCACGACTGTTTGTGGGAAACTGCCGTGTTTCGTGATAAGGCGCTGTATAAATGCGAGGATTAGGATTATTATTATTAGAATCCTTGCATTTGATAGAGCGCCCTATCCTGTCGGGAGGACGTCTCAAAAGCGTTTCACAGGATTTAACTGTGAAGTGAATCTCAAGTTTTGAGAGAGATGGTCTCTCGGCGCTGAAATTAAGTGGAATTTCTGGATGGTCTTTTCTATCTCTCAGAGGATCAGTCGTACGAAAGACAATGTCACTTACGATTAACCCACTGAGCCATTATTGTGGCTGAGGACCACGATCCCAAAACATTTCTTCACAAAACCAAAAAATATTGACTCATTTGGTCAAGTACGCTCCCGGTGTTCCACTAAGCCGTGGGAATTTCTATTTTTGCCAAAACCATGCCCGGCTCGATTCCGAAGCTGATCGTATCTGAGAAAAATTATTTTATGTACTGTATAATATATGTATATAATTTTTATGAAAGTTTCCTTCCAGTTATTTTTCCCCCAAAATATATCTCCGCTTTTCCACTCTGTAACATTGTCAGCACTGGTCAGCACTCAGCAACCTACATTTCCATTAATACACTGTGATTCCTAAAGACCTACATTAATAAAAGGATTCTGCTGCAGATATAAATCAGCCTCTTCTTTTCTTTAAACGTTACACCACGTAGGCAGCTCTTTTCTTATTTGTTGACTATTTCGACGCCTTCTCCGCTGCTAACTGAGAGACGGTTTTGCAAACAATCCTATTTGCTGTCACTCGCTGTTTCTCCAAAGCGCCAGCCAGAGGATCACCCGTAGTCAGAGAGAGATTGTCACATAAACCAGTCGGCTAATGGAGAGGTGGGTATCTGTGGACTGATTGAGCTGTCAGTTTCTATCCTGTGCGAGGCTTTCAACGACAATCACTTGTTCAAGGCAAACAAGACACAGACATTTCTGTACAACCTCCCTCCTCCACCACCACCCCACCGACACAGTCACATGATTAGAACCAGTACTTCTCGTTCTCAGATAATAAACCTTGCGTCTCATGCAGTGCCTTATCACGTCTTCTAGACGTCTCAAAGCGCCTCGCAGCATATACTGTGAAGTGAATTGACTGTGTATTTTCTGCGCGAAACGCACGACCCCAATCCGCAATTTTGCCTCCGGAGGATTCCGCAAATAAGGAATTCTGTCATTGCTGCGGAAGTGGATCGCAAGCTAGCGCAGTTCCTGCGGGTCGGTTGGCGTGACCTACTTCCTGTTACCCGGAGTGCACCTGCGCACCTCACCACCCCTCTCTTGCACGACTCAGAATCCTTCCTAAGGAATCCCATCCTCCAATCCCCCAGATTTTGCCCACAAAATATACAGTCGATTCACTTCACAGTGCGTACTGTGAAGCGCTTTGAGACGTCTCGAAGACGTGATAAGGCGCCACATCAAATGCAACGATTATTATTATTACATTCCCCACACTCAGGCAGAATTTCGAGATGCCAAATGCACAGAGGATTCTGAAGAAGTGTTGGTCCCAAGGCTGCCTCTAAACAGCAGAGCTTTTTTTAAAACAAAACAGCAAAAAAAACAACAACAATGACAGATGATAATCGAGACACTGCGCACTGGGCAGCCAGACAGATGCGGTTCCCCTTTAAATGTTTCCGAGGTCCACCATTCTAACGCTGTGTCTGTATGGAATCAGATTGAGGTCCAAAAGTGTTCTGCATTGCGACAGCATTGGCCAGGCATCTGTTAACAGATGCCTTATAAACCTAAGACAGGATTTTAGCTCTGACTCCAGTTCTGAGTGAAAAGTGTGCAGGTAAACCGAACCTTTAAGTTAAACATATTGAAAGTTTTTACGTTCCCAGGCCCTAGGGGAACTTTTAAGAGAGCAATAAAAAGATAACCGCAGTTCACGACTAACGTTAAGACTTGGGTTAATATGTGTGTCCATGTTTTTTTTTGGTCAGCTGAGTGTCTGCCACATGCTGAAACCTATCGCCATGCTAAAGATTATCCAATCCAGAGTTCCACATACATACACCATCTACACATGGAAATAACCCTGTGTCTGGAGGGGAATGAGCACTCACTCTCCAGACGGATGCACCCTATTTACCTAATTCCAGAGAGTATTAGGTACAGGTTGGTGAGACCCAAGTTCTTAAAGAGATCCCGGAGCGTGCATTTAACCACCTAAAGCCGGGCATTGAAAGTACTGTCTGGCAAGCTTTCCCGCTGTTTGTGTAGCTGAGACCGCCCTAGCCCTTAGGGCTTTGGCTTACAGGGTTAACAGGAGTTGAGTAGGAAGAATCCCTGTCCCCAGGAACTGGTCTGCCTTTGCGAGTCCTGCCAATGAGCCAGGCTGGCTGAGCTGTCATCAGCTGCGCCCTGGAGTACCACGGACCTACCTGGACAACTCAACGACTAGATAAGGTGCTATATTAAATGTAAGGATTATTGTTGTTATAATGTTATTAAAGGACCGCTCACGCTGCTATCTCTTTAAAAGCAATAAAACCCTGCGGTCTATGGTTTGCAGAGCTCTGTGTACATTTGCAGAGCCCTTCTCAACTTGCAGTAGGAGCGATTGGGAGCAAGTCAGGAAGAACTCTGCCCCCGTCTAGATTTACTCTATTTCTGTGGCATTTGCAAGGAGTCCAGAGTTTGGGAAAGTGTTGAATTCGGTCTCAGCTTCCAAGTCGATTCTCCGTGGATTAATTGTTTTGGTCAGCTGAGTGTCTGACACATGCAGAAACTCATGCTCAAGAGTATGCATAATATATACAGTCAATTCACACTTTACAGTGTATTCTGTGAAGTGCTTTGAGACGGTCTCGAAGACGTGATAAGGGGTGATATCAAATGCAAATTCTGGAAATTCCAGAGATAGATTGTTGGAATGGAATGCGCTCTCTCTCCCTGGAGGGACGCCCCCCTGTTTACCTAATTCCGGAAAGTATTAGGCGCAGGTTGGCAAGAACCAAGGCTTGGAGACCCCAAGAATGTGCATTGGGGTAACAGCTGGAGAGTTTGCCAAGTTCTGGACACTCTGAAATGTTACATAAATAGACCCAGGTCTGAACCCCAAACGTGGTTGGGATATCTCCCCATGGAAGTGTAACTTGAGTTTCCCGATCTCTCCATTGCTATAAGCATTACGGCCTCGCTTCCGACAGTACAAACTAGGCATCGGGGGGGGGGCGGGGGGGGTTAGAGACAGCAACACAGCAATGCAGGCAATGACAGCTTTAAAACAAAGCAGAAATCATTGCAAAAAGTGCCGACCTTCTAATCAATCTTGAGATCATTTTTATGAATCTTCCTGCTGTAAACTGGAAACATGACTGTGTGCTCTCTAATAGTGCAGCGTTTATACGTGGGCAAAAATGATTGATTTCCTACCTGTTGGGTTGATATTTCTGACTGGGCCAATTCATGTATCTATTGGAAAGGAAGGACTGTATTATTTTGTGAGCAATATCCATCCAGTATTTTATATATATATTTAAAAAATTCACTTTATATGTGTCGCTGTTTCATCTGCACTGAAGATTCTAGCTCCTTCTCCCTGTGGCATTAAGTTGCTAAGGAGGAAAAAAAGCGCTCATACAAATGTTCCAAAAATCAAGCGATTAGAGCACTCGCCTCACAAGCGAGAAGATCTGGGTTCGATTCCCGGGCAGAGCAAAACCTTAGGCAAGTTTCCTTACTCCAAACGCCTCTGCTTAACTAGCAGTAAGCAAGAACCCAGTTGTTAAACGATTGGTGGATTGCTTTCCGGGGGTAATAAGCTTTCTAAAAAAAAATTTTTTATCACTCGATCCACGACTGTTTGTGGGACGCTGCTGTGCGCAATTGGCTGCCGCGTTTCACCCACAAAATTCACAGTCACTCCACTCTACAATATATTCTGTGAAGCGCTTTGAGACGTCTCAACGACACGATAAGGTGCTATATCAAATGCAAGGATTTGTAATATTATTATAAAGCAGAATTGGGATATTGATATTTGAATTATCATGTATTTCTTCACATGAGTCACTTAGTCTAATCCCTCTCGCACTCGCTTCCTTTAATATTTTTAATTTCCTAATGCTTCTATATGCTCTGCCCACCTGGAATACAGTAGGAAAACTAATGCTCTCCAATTATCCAGACCTCACATCCAAACCTCTGACTAGAAATTGCACCCGAGTGCAGATTATAGCGCAGCATTTTCAGAGCGAGATAGAATTTGGCAAATTGTTGAATCCAGGTTTAACTTTGCAGCCGTGGTCTGTATTCGCTTAAAAGATACTCGCAGAAAAAAAAATATTTGAAGACTGTCATGAAGCATTTGTCAAATTCTGGTCACTCTGAAATGCTGTGTTGATGGAGTAAATCTAGCCCCAGGTGAGATTTCTTGTCTCTCACCTTCACCCAGTAGCTCCTGGTGAGAGCTCAAACTCAGTGCATTGGAGGTAACAGGAGGTAACTGACATGCCAGAGGGTAGATCACATCGGAACAGAATACTCTTATTATTAATTAAATACTAATAATTATTATTAAATTATTATTTGGCTACAAAATACACAGTACGATACAATTTACATGTAAACAGCGCCTCTCACATCGGGAGGACGTCTCAAAGAGCTTGGCCCCAACAAAATATACAGTCAATTCACTTTAGTGTATATTCTGGGAAGCGCTTTGAGACATCTCAATGATGTGATAATGCACTATAACATAGGCAAGGATTATTATTAGTTTTGACAATGCAGATGACTGAAGCCCGGTCAAAGAGGTTTGCTTTGAGACATGCCTTGATCAAGATAAGGGAGGTACTGTGTAATAATACAATCACTACACTTTACAATAAAATTCCGTGAAGTGCTTTAAGACTCTCTCCCGACATGAAATGCAAATTTTATTCTTGTTATTCTTGCATTTTCTAAAAGTAACTTATCTTAATTACTGAATCACCTAATTGTTCGTTCCCCGTTTCTGTCTCCAGATGAGTTTGTTACTGACGTATTGGACATAAGCTGAACAGTCTCTTATTTCTTGTTCACTGGGAAAACTCTACAAAAGTATTTTACCTTCTGGCTTCTATAAGCTGCCTCTAAATACTATAGAAATGATCTATGTGGAAACTTCCAACTGATGGAATCATCGCTCACACTCTGGGGTCTCCAAGCCTTGGATCTTAACAACCTACTCTTAGGAATCTTAATTGTTTTTTAAAAAATAATAATTTGGTCACTCAATCCATGACTGTTTGTGGGACACTGCTGTGTGTAAATTGCTGTCGTGCTTCACCCACAAAATATACCGTCAATTCACTTCATAGTATATTCTGTGAAGCACTTTGAGTCATCTCGATAAGGTGCTATATAATATGCAAAGATTATTATTATATTATTATATCTCCGGTATTAGGTAACCAGACAACCACAACACTAAGTCTCAAAACGAAACTAAAGTATTTTATTGATCAGGTAAATTAAAGACACGTCTTATTACGAACAAAACAATGAAATAATTGATGGGCTCATTAGATCTGAGCGAAGCAGCAACGTTTAAACTGAACATGAAAAGATTCTTGCTGTAAAAGCATTTAAAAGTCCCAGCAGAGCTTTGGTGGAAGCTTAACAAATGCAGTTGTCAAGGTCTATGGGGCAATTTTCAAAGTATCTGCATATTTGAATATTAAAACCAGGCTCAATCTCGGCCTTTGAGAAGTCACACTGAGCCAAGTAAATCCAACTCAGATTAAATTATTTTGTTACACTTTCAACTTGGTTCACATTTCGGTCGACTGGAACTTGCAAAATTAAATTGCAAACTTTAAATTGTTAAATTGTTAAATTGCTGTTAAATTGCAAACTTTATTCTGGGCTCCATAAATTGGGAGCCGCATTCCAACCAGGACCACCCAAAATTTAATTCTCCAATTGCTTTTTTTGGATGGGGCAGGAATTCCATTGTTGTGAGAGGAGTAGGGGTGGCGGGGGGGTTTCTTGGTTATAGTCCACAGAATATTCAATCACTAAGCATTACAGTATATTCTGTGAAGCACTCAAAGACGTGATAAGGAACCTATATCGAATGCAAGGATTATTATAAGGAGAATTATTTATGAGTGCTACCAGGTGCATGGCAGAGTAACACAAACGTGGACTCTTTAAGGAAGGGTGAGGTCTAATTATAGCAATCAGCAAAGAATCTCCTCCTTTCCTAGCCCAGAGCTTCTGAGGTCAATTATACTTCTCATGCTACCACCTGATAGTTCAGCCAACTCAGCACAAACCCATTTGATCTATAACTTTCTGGTCTGGTTGTCAGAGTCACGCCAGGAGCTCTACGGTTGTTTTATGGCTAGAAAATAGAAGCTTGTTGAATTTTGGGCTCAGGCCAGCTGGTTGATGTTACTGTAAGGAGGAGTTTCACTCTGCAGTTAAAATATTATCCCTAACCCACACATTCTTTCACAATAACATAATAAAAACAATTCAGAGCCCTGTAAGTGTACCAAGGCGGACTTTGCATTCCATCGAATGCTTCCTGCTGTTGTATCCAGGTTAGATCATTACATAGCAACAACAACAACTTGCATTTATATAGCGGCCTTCACACGGGTTAGCGTCCTGGAGAGTTTGACGGTGGCGGAGTCTGATCCCAAGCCGGGGGGAGAGGGCGGAGAAAGTGATCGTGATCAAATGCAAGGACTTTGACCGTGTGAGAGACAGCTAATAGGTGGGGTCTTGGAAGAGGTGGTGTTTATCAGTTTTGCCTTGGATAAGTGCCCTTTCTGCACCCCCTCAGCGACCAAATAATGACTAATAATGCTCTTTACACACAGACTGAGGCTCACTTTATGCCCATAAAATCAAAGTCTGAGACAACAACCCAGACACGTTACTGACTCTGCTTCCTGGTTTTATCCAGTCAATTATTATTAAAATGATAACCTATTTACCACAGCAATACTTGTGACTGTGAGTCGGAGTCTAAAAAAAAATGGATTAATTTTATCAGGGTGTCTGACGTACGGAAATCCGTCATCGTGCTTAAACCAAACGACTGAATGAATGTTTCCCTGTGTGTAGGATGTAATGCACACGCTCTCTGTCTCTCTCTCCTGGAGGGATGCACCCTTCTCACTTAATCCCCTAGAGGATCAGATCCAGGTTGGCAAGAGCTAAGGAGCAGGGCACCCCAAAGTGTGCGTTGGGTAACTTCAAGAATTTAACCAGCTGAAAACCATATAGCTTGCCATTACAAGCAATCCATGAATGTTGGTGGGACACTGCTGTGTTTCAATTCACTTTACAGTATATTCTGTAAAGCGGTTTGAGACATCTTGAAGATGTGATAAGGCACTATATCAAATGCAAGGATTATTATTATGATGAGCATCCCACTGCTAGTCTAGCCAGGACCCCCTACCCCAGAGGTTTATGGGCTATAGGGCTAACTGAGAAGAATCCCAGTTCCCAGAGTTTCATACAAAGTTTTATCGGTAATAAACAACAACAAAAGATTACATTTGTATAGCGCCTTTCACGTCAGGAAGGCCAAACTAGCAATGCTAGTTTGCGGGATGGGTTAAAATGTGCTAATGTGGGCTACAGAGCTCTGATCACTTGTACATGTTATACACATGGTTCCAGGTCATTTAAAATCAGTTCTCATTACCTGCCAGACATCAATTTTGCTTGACATTATGACTCCTTTTAAACAGTGTAGCTCACAAAGACTGCGCTGTTATTTCTGTATGCAAATAGTGACGAATCAGACATCATCCACACTAGCCCGATTTCACCCCTTACCCTGCATCACGCTGACGCAGTGTATCAATGGCAGCACAAGGCAGCTCTTAAACAGTCGATGTGGGTCGCTGTGGATTGGGGGAATGGCAAATCAGAGATTTTCAGCTGTAAATTGCTAGTGGGCTCAGACGCAGTTTAATTTTGAGATCTGTGTTATCCAGGTGAAAGGTGTCCAACACACCATCTCCTGCGGACAGGACAGCAGCTCAAGTCGGTTGCTATTTTTTTTTGGAACTATCCAAATATTTTCGTATCAACCCATCACTTGTCGGAGGCTGACAGCTGCTTATAACTGATGACAAAAACAGACAACGGGAGCTGCTGCGGTGGGAGAGAAACAGAATAGCGACAGTTTTCAGAAAAAGCTCCCAGGTTAATGTTCTAAGACTCTGTTTCTCACTGGGGGGTGGGTGGGGTGGGTGGTGGGAGGGGGTCATGTTATATAAATGCAAGTTTTTTTTTTGTAGAATCCTCAGGAGGCGGTTTTGCCAGGACTCTGACGTCACAAATCGCATGTTGCAAATCACATCAGCTTCCCTCTGTTCAGAAATTGCTCAGTCCATTGAAATTTCGAGAGACGGTTATAATGCTACCAAAGAACATTCGTACATCCAAGGCCTTTCTGCAGCTTCTGCAAAGAATTCTGCCTGACACAACCTATTTTGAGTTACGAGAATGCAAGAAGTTTCACTTGGATTGTCCCCAGTGTGAGGTGAATCAGATGAGATGGGGCTCTTCAGTGAGAAGAGACGTCTCAGGGGGGACTTTGCAGTGTTATATAACATGATAATCGGGATTGAGCAAGTAAAGCTGGCACAGAAGAGGGCTATTTTTCCCCATTGTGTCCGTCTGTGCTTAAAAGGGCAATACCTTTAGCCGTCCATTTTATTACGATTTGCAATTAAGATTAAAGCAGGAATGTCTGTTGGGCTGATATTATTTGCCTAATATTTTAAATTCAAAAGTGTGATGCATGAGCATGTAGGCCAATGCTTCTTCCTCTCACTCGTCTACAAATCCCTTCACACCCTGGCACCTCCCTACCTTTCTGACCTGCTTTCTCCCCCACTCCACTACCCGCTGTCTCCACTCGGCTGACTCTTGTCCCTCGTCCCCTCCACCCCACCATCGGCGGACACACTTTCAGGCACTACGCCCCAAAGCTTTAGAACTCACTCCACCAATCCCTCCTCCAGGAACTAGGACAGCACTTACTCTCTAGACATACACCAAGTAGGTATTGCAATGCGACCAGCACCCATGTGAACTAGATCAATGTTAAATCAGAAATATACAGTGTAGAAAGAGGCTATTTGGCCCATTAAATCTACCAGAGCAAGCTGTGCACTCAACCGCACTGCCCTCGCCCTATCTCCCAACCCCTTCAAGCCTTTATCATTCCCTCTTGAAACCCATTCTAAAGAGGAGGGCAGAAAGTGGGAAAGAAGAGAAGAGATTTAAGGGTAAATAAGAAAAACTTGGTCACAAAAGACGCTGCTCTACATCATAGCATCTCTTCAAAACTGTGTGGCTTCTTCCTCCATCTTCCTCCCCTCCCCTCCCATGAACATGCTGGTTCCTCAATGATTAGAGCTAGAAATCAGGAAAAAGGCCAAACCTCTGTGATGCAAAGAGACAACTTAAGTGTCCAAACGGGCTTACCTGGACCCCATACAGGAACTCGTCCGAGTCATTGTCTCCATCAGAATCTTCATCAGTCCAGCACTGACCTTTCATGTCCTATAGGAAAATAACAAGGGCTGAAAACAAGAATCTGCAGCACACACGGTCTGCAGAACACAGGGACCAGTGTCACCAACATTCAGGTCTCAGGGGTCAAGAAGTCATCAATGATTTGGGCTTTGTTCTAAAGAAATGCCTGGGGAGAAACTCCACGAGGTCTGGATTAACCCTATTTAACATAACACTTCAAAGCAACCTGAATTCTCTAATTTTGAAGCTACTCTTTAATTTTAAAGAAATTAAAGAAAACTGGCTTTCAAAATGCCACATTAACAGTAGATTTTGACCAAGACAGAATTTCCACCCAACTGTGTTCTAATACATATGGGAGGCCTGTTGAGGTGCTCTTGTGAATCTCCCGTGACCCTGTTGTTGCTGAACCACATAAACAGAGGCCTCCGAGCAGATCTATCAGCCAGAACAGAGAGCTGAAGTCCAGCCAGACCACCTAGTTTTAGAGTGTCAGCCATTTTGCCTTAAGATTTAAGAATTGTGAAGAATTGCAGGCAACGCATCAATTAGAGTCTCAATTTGGAACTTTAAGAAATGTGGAAGAAAACGTTTTCTAACCGAATACTAATAAGGATGTAATAATAATCCTTGCATTTGATATAGCATCTTATCACGTCGTTGAGACGTCGTAAAGATTATGTGAGTTGACTGTATTTTGGGGGCGAAATGCGGCAGTAGTGTCCCACAAACAGTTGTGGATTGAGTGACCAAGTAATAATTTTTTTGAGGGATTATTACCCCCAAAAAAGCAATACGCCAACCCAAAACTATGATTTTCTAAAAATTTGGTAATGTTAAATTTTAACCCATGTTTGTGCGGGTAAAACTAGGCCTCGGGTGGGAGGGGAGATTGGCAGTTGTGGGGCGGTCGGGGGGGTGTGGGTGGGAGAGGCTTAATCATAGAAAGAAGATAACTTTGAGATTTAATGAAGGCTGGCGTGAATGGATCTTAAAGGCAAAAAAAAACCCTGATAGTTGGCAACACAACTATATGTTAGCGAGTCTTTTTATTATTTGATCCCACCTGTAGACAGCTCTGGTTGTCTCCTGACCATCCTTTCAAACTGGACTGAGGAAATCGCCACACAACTGGGGATGGTCTTGTGAGACAGTCAACATCAAGCCCTGCACTGTTCCCAGCCTGAGGTGAAACCAGTGCTATATTTAAACACATCCAGCTTTTTTCAATGCTTTTCAAGGTATGAATCACAATAAACAGAGGCACACGTGTACCGCGGCGAATAAGTACGTACGCATCAGCTGATTGGTGAAGGAATGTAGCTGACACAAGCTGAATGGCTTAATTTATTTAACCTAAATGGGATTGGGAGAGTGAACCCACAACAATGGTTCACAATATGCCAATATTATATAATACGATCTGCCAAGAGAGCAGAGCAAAAGGCCACAGGTTCTGAAGTGTACACGGCAATTTCAGAACACATACATTCCTTTACACAGAGGGCAATCAACAGCTGAGACGGGGTTATCAGGATGGGTGGATGGTGGAGGCTAGGTCTCTGGACTCAATTAAGAAACAGCTTGATGCTGTAAGGGGGATGGCAGGGTTTGTATTCTGGAAGGATGATTCAGAGGGGAGACAAGGAGAATTTTTTTTATACACACACACACACACACACACACAGAGTTGTTACGATTTGGAATGCACTGCCTGAAAAGGTGGTGGAAACAGATTCGATAACAACATTCAAAAGGGAATTGGATAGTTACATGAAAAGGAAGAAAATTTGCAAGGATTTGGGGAAAGAGCGGGAGTGGGGAGTGGGACTGATTGGGTAGCTCTTCCAAAGAGCCGGCAAAGGCACGATGGGCCGAATGGCCTCCTTCTGTGCTGTAATATTTATGATTCTTTGATGGGGTCAAATGAGCTGAAGGACCTATTTCATCAAAATCTCACTTATGATGTTACATTCTTGCTTTGTTTGCTTGTTGTGTGTCTCTTCCACAGAGCAGTAACAATGCATGCATTGTGGGACGTTGCTGCAAATTGGCTGCTGTATTCACCTCCAAACACACAGTCACTACACTTTACAGTAACACCCTCTGGAAGCTCTTTGAGCCATTTCAGTGACGTGAGAATAATAATCCTTAATTTGACATAGCATCATCAAGACGTCTCAAGACTGTGTACCTGTAGCTGAACGCAGCGACAACAACAACTTGCATTCATATAGCGCCCTTCACACAGTGTAGCGTCCCAGAGCGCTTCACGGTGGCAGAGTCTGACAACGAGGCAGGCTGCTGAACACAGCAGCCAAGATACGCACAGCAACATCCCACAATTAGCCATGATTGTTGGACAGGACACCGGGAGAAACTCCCTTCTCTTTTCGAATAGCGCCAAATGCAACACTTAGGATTCGAGTGACATGAAAAAACACATTTTTGGCTAACATACTGGGAGAAACTCTCTTCTGTTCTGTGTTAAAGAAATCTTTAATGTCCACCTGTACCTCCAACAATGTTCTCCCCCAACCCCCCGCCCCCCCCCCCCCCCACCCCCCGACCCCACCTGGAAACACATCAGAAAACGCAGTCAAAGAGGTAAGTAACAACCCCTTCAAATATAACATTTAATTTTTAAAAATGTGGTCACTTAATTCACGACTGTTTGTGGGACGCTGCTGTGTGCAATTGGCTGCCGCGTTTCGCAGTATATCTTTTGAAGCGCTTTGAAACGTCTCGAAGGCGTGATAAGGCACTATATCAAATGCAAGGATTATTATTATTATTACATCATTATAATGAATGGGAACAACAGCATAATGGATGGAGGCAGATTTGATGGGCCATTTGGACTCTTTCTACGCTCTAACTTTCTATGATCCTATGCGTGTGAGTGCGTGGGTTAGCTGGCGATGCTGGCGATAAGAACCTAGAAGCCCTCGCTGGGTGAGAGAGCAGGTCACTCACCATTTGTGCTGGGATTCACTCGAGATTGGTCTCTACGAGTACTTGGCCTCTGTCCTCCATTCTGCCGGTCGAGATGGAAAATAGTGAGGAAACGGCCTGGCAAACAGCAGGGGACTGACGCAAGTGGAATAACAAAGGGCCGGCACCGTGCAATCACCTTGACAACAAATGATTTTTCAACAACTTCCCCTGTCATTAAAAAGAAAAGGAGCAAACGCAGGTGATAGATAGCGGGTGCCTCGCGGAATAGCATTTGCAGGATTAAAATAAAATCAACTTCTCGGTTAAAATAATCTCCTTTTTTAAATTATATATATAAAACAGAAGTACAGTAATATTTAACAACAAGGGTTACTCAAAGAGATTTAAGCCACCGTGATAAGCGACTGGGTTATGAGTGTTATGTGTGGTGCTCACTCCGGGTTAGGGTTAAGTTCCAATAACATGGACCGAACCCACCTACTCTGTTTCCAAGCTGAGGTGAAATGCTTGTTACTGACACAACAGTTTGACATCTGCTAAGCACGGGGTCATTCTATCTTTTCAGGAAGAACAGATGTCATGGAGTTTGGGAGGAGGGGGATGGGGTGTGTGGATGGGGGTGGTGTGTGTGTGTGTGTGTGCGCGCGGATGTCTGTCTGGAGAAACAATGGAGATAGTTAATCTCAGATAGCAAAGCAGGCAACGGAAAGAAAGAATTGAATGCGCCCTTCCTGCTTGACTGAGCCTGGAAGTTAAAGTGTATGAAGTAAACAAAAGGGAAACTATTTCTGAGACACACACACACACAAAGAAATAGCATTTCATGTTTGGATTAAATTGATCGTTAGAGAGGCGAGAAAGGGGTCTATCATTTATTGACTGCTAAAAGGAACAATTTTTCCATTTAGAGTTAGAAAGTCGTAGCAACAGGATTGCTGGTGACCAGAGGAAGGATCGAGTCTGAGAAAAAATGGGTATCTCTCTCCGACTATCAAAACAAATTCAAAAGCTGCAAAACTTTCTGTTTCTGTGGCTCCTGCCGAGCACTGGCACGTGACAGACACCAATGATTTCCCTGCATCAAAGTGAGTTTGCTGTCGGGTGGGTGGAACGTTTCCTAAAGTTAGGAAAACTATTAGATCATAGGTTAAATCACGTTTCGCCCACAAAATACAGTCAATCCACTTTACAGTATATATTGTGTGAAGCTCTTTGTGATATCTCAATGACAAGGTACTATATCAGGTGATATATCAAATGCAAGGATTATTATTATTAATGCCCTTTATGTTCACTCTCCTCTCTGTTCTCTCTGTTTCCTAGAATACAATGAGCATCAATAACAGAAATTAATGCTCGAGATGAGGGAGGGTTTTTTAATTCAATGGAATGAGGAAAGATAACTTGGCATATTTTTGCTGCTCTGTCTGTGCCACTATTCCCCATTTCCGCAATCCACACCTTTATCCACAAAAAGGATCTGAATTGCAATATCTGAAATTCAAATTCACATCAAAGCTCCTGGAATTCCGGTCTACATGTAGATGGCGTCAACGAGTAGCTTCCTGTGGGGATCAAAGTGATGCAAGGACTTTTCTCCTCCCTCCCCCATTGCACAACGTAATAAGGAATCCCATTTAAAAATACCGCACATCTGACCTTGTATCTGTTTTAATAATAATAATAATCCCTGCATTTGATATAGAGCCTTATCATGTCTTCGAGATGTCTCAAAGCGCTTCACAGAATATACTGTAAAGTGAATTGACTGTAAAGTATCTCTTTGTGACCCCCAGTCCCCTGATGTTCTGTCAGCTGCCTGTCAGATCTCAGGGGCTGGATGAGCGCAAATTTCCTTCAGCTGAACATTGACAAAACGGAAGCCATACTCTTTGGCTCTTGTCAACGTCTAAAATCGCACGGCTCTCACCTCCTCCACCTGCCCGACCTCCTCCTAAAACTCTCCGAACCCGTACGCACCCTAGGCGTCTTGTTCAACCCCCAATTATCATTCCTCCCCCACATCCGGTCCCTCACCAGCACCGCTTTCTTCCACCTCCCACGCATCGCCCGTCTCCGCCAATACCTCTCCCCAAAAGCTGCTGAAACCCTTTGTCACCTCTTGGCTGGACTACTCTAATGCCCTCCTCGCCGGTCTCCCATCCACTACCATCCATAAAATCCAAATCATTCAAAACTCTGCCGCCCGCATTTTAACCCGCACGAAACTCCACTCCCCGATCACCCCAGTCCTTGCCAGACTGCACTGGCTGCCTGTCCCAGAGAGGATCGATTTCAAAATCCTCACCCTTATATTCAAATCCCTGCACTCCTCTGTACCCCTCGACCTCTCTGACCTCCTCTCTCCTCAAAACAGAACCCATTGCCTTCGTTCCTCCGGGTCTGGTCTCCTCCTTGTCCCCCGACCCTCTGCTCCACCCTCGGCGGCCGTGCCTTCAGCCACTACACCCCGAGGCTCTGGAACTCCTTTCCTCACTCCCTTTGTCTCGCTCCCTCCCTTCCTATTTTCAGGTCTGTGCTGAAGACCTTTTTTTTCGACCGCGCCTTTGGTCACCTCCCCCCCCCTCCCCCTGGCTCGATCCCGGGATCCGTTACTGTAAAGCACTCTGAGACTCCATCCGGCATGGAGGGCGCTATATAAATCCAAGTTGTTGTTGTTGTTGTTGTTGCTACTTTTACCCATTGACAATGACCCTATTATAACACTGTGATTGTGGGGAGAAGGGGGAGGGGGGGAGAAATGAGACTCTACGTTATTACGGACGGCGTTATTGAGTGGCCGGGTTTAGCACTTCCTCAACATTCACTGAGCCGTACGCACGAAGCCTCTTGTATTTCAGGGTGTTGCTGGAACCATGAGGACCTTCCTCGCCAACTCAGAAACTTGGTCAGTCAGCGCCGGAAACTGGACATGGACCACAAATCGGCGGCCGTGCTTTCAGCCACTACGCCCCGAAACTCTGGAATTCTCTCTCAATCCCTTCACCTTGCCCCCTCCTTCCCCTCCTCCAAATCCCGCCTAAAAACCTTCTGTTTTTGATCGTGTCATCTCCCCCTCCTTCTCCCCCTGGCTCGGGATCAGGTTCCGCCACTGTCAAGCACTCCGGCACACTATCCCGCTTGGAGAGTGCTATAAAAATGCAAGTTATTGTTGTTGTTGTTAATGCTGTGAGTCAACAGTGTGTGCCTGTGCTATCCATCAAAGCGTATACCAACTGGTGTGACTTTAGTGTGACTGTCATATCACACAAAGTGCCTCGTGATATGAGGAGCATTAGAGTGCAGAGGATCAAATAATAGTTTAAAATAACACTACGTACTGAACTATTGAATGTGGAAGTGACAGCAGATAGCAAATAATTGCGCTGCATCAATATCAGACCTTGTTGAAATCCTGGAAAATGTGGGATGTTATCTGGCTGTTGACCCACTTGGTTACATAAAAATGTCATTAATGTCGCAATCTTCTCGTTCAATTATTTATTATTGGTGTCGATTCCCTGGGCAGGACGGCGATCGGAGCGGGGAAGGAAAGTACGCTGGGAAGGGAAAATACGGAGAGGACTTGCTCTATTGGTGAAGGAGCCTGGGCGAAGGCAGGGATTGTCAGGGTTTCCAATGGTGTATCAGTGAGAGTTTGCACGAATGAGTCAATCGAAAGGGGACCTGATAAGAGGCATTTAAGATCCAAGATAATATTTGATAATGTGCATGTTGATAAGTTGGTTCCACACATTTGTGAATCCACAACTAGAGGGTATAATATAAGGTAGCCAGCAGCAGATCTAGTAGGGAGTTTAGGAGAAACTTCTTCACACAAAGGGTGGTGAGAATTTGGCAGGAAAAGCAACAATTTGCAGATTAGCGTCTCAGAGCGCTTAACAGTGGTGGAGTCTGACTCCGAGCCGGGGAGATGGGGGAGGTGTCCGTAAGCACGGTCGAACAGGAGGGTTTTCAGGAGGAACGTGACAAAGGGGAGAGAGGGGGCAAGGCGGAGGGATTGAGAGAGACTGTTCCAGAGTTTTGGGGTCTAGTGGCTGAAAGTGTGACCTCCGATGTTGGGGCGGAGGATGCGAGGGACTAGCAGGAGCCGGTGCCAGTCGAGTGGAGGCATCGGGTGGTGGATTGGGGAGTGAGGAGGTCGGAGAGGTAGGGAGGTGCCAGGGAAGTGAATGGATTTCAACACGAGTGTGAGGATCTTGAAGTCGATCCATGGAGAGCCAGTGGAGCCTGGTCAGAACTGGTGAGATGTGGGTCTAGAATTTGGTCCGGGTCAGTGTGTGGGCAGCAGAGATTTGAATAAACTGGATTTTTTGAATAGTGGAGCTGGGGAGACCGGCGAGGATGTGTTGGGGTAATCCAGGCGGGAGGTGACAAACGCATGCACGAGGGTTTTGGCTGCATTTAAGGTAAGGTACGGTCGGAGGCGGGCAATGTGGCGGAGGTGGAAGAAGGCGGGCTGGTCTGGGACCGGATGTGGGGTCGAGCCGGATGCCTAGATTGCGCATTGGTTTGGTGAGTGTGAGGAAGAGCCCAAGGAGGTTGAGGAGTTTGGATCCGCAGGAGTGAAGACGTTGACGGGAGCCAAGGTGTATGGCTTCCGTCTTGTCCAAATTCTGCATAGGGAGATGACACACTCCACAGAGGCGTGTGGAGTAAGGAAACTTTCCTAACGTTTCGCCCTGCCTGGGAATCGAACCCAGGTACTCTCGTTTAAGAGGCGAGCTCTCTAACCACTGAGCTATAGGACTCCATTATCCAGATATGGGCTGGTGAGTTCAAATAGACAGCACCTAACGACATCAAAATGGAGCTATCTCAGTGAAGAGCTCCCTGATGGAAGCCTCCACTCATCACAGCCAATCACAATTCCTAATTCCTTATCTTCAAATCCTAAATTGACAAGTAATTTGGAAGTCAGTTTCTTTGGGGGGAAAAAAAGGCTTCTGAGTTAAATTAGAATGTAATAATTTTGCTTACCCCTACTTCTTCCTCTCTTTGCTTCTTCCTCTCCCCATCCCACCCTCTCTCCTCCTCTCCCCTTCTCACCTCTTCTCCTCCAGTCAATTCAGTTCCCAGACCCAGAAGTACTTACTTACTTCAAACCAAGGCGCAATCTATTGAGTGGCTTGGGGGCACACAGAGTAAACATCTGCTGGCTCACTGCAAATCTTGAATTTGCGG